TTCTAGTTATTACTCTTCAGTGTGTTGCCCGGGGCAGCGGGTGCTCTCTCTCTCTCTCTCTCTCTCTCTCTCTCTGAGAAACAAATTGCTAATTTTGCAGATTTTGTTCCTCAATAAAATCTTGACTAGTCAGTCAATGAGACAATTTTTTATAGATATAATATTGTATGTTGTTCAAGATATAGTGCATTTATATCTTAAGGTAAAGACATAAAAGAATTGTAATTATTGTACACTTAATGAGTTGTGTTGGCAGATTTTTACTTTTATTTTTCCTGCATTATCAAGATGTGCTCTTCCATATCCATGCTTTTATACTTATAACCTTAAACAACCTTAACTATGTGTACGCTGTGATCATATTAACTTTGAGTTAATTGTATTTTCCAGATAACAAGGTGATGTGTTTATTCTCTATAAACACGGTGAAACACAACTATGACGATGAAACACTAAAATGACAACACTCCTCCCTTTATCAGATCTTCCTTTAACTTATTTTATAATAAATCATGAAAATAAATATAATGAAGCTGAAGCAAAACAAGAGTTCACCTCAACCCGCCAGCAGACCCCTGAGCAACGCCAGCAGACCCCTGAACGACGCCAGCAGACCCCTGAGCAACGCCAGCAGACCCCTGAACGACGCCAGCAGACCCCTGAACGACGCCAGCAGACCCCTGAACGACGCCAGCAGACCCCTGAACGACGCCAGCAGACCCCTGAACGACGCCAGCAGACCCCTGAACGACGCTAGTAATGGCAGCGGGTTAAAACTAACCCAGGGAGGTTGTCACAGTTGTTATAATTAGGCCAATTAGCCTGAGATAATGCCAGTCAACGCTGGTGGTCCTAAAACAACGTTAGAGCGACACCAGTCAGTGTCCGTGATCTTGTGGGACAATACCTGTGTGAGGGGAGGTGTGGTATACTCGTACTGTCATTAGGTGTAGACAAGCACAGTGTGACGAGCTTAAGTGTGTAGGAAACGGGTAATAAACCTGTCCTGTGGGTGTTGCCAGCAATAATAACTTGATCCTTTTATTGGGCGTTATGTCAACATTTTACATTTATTATGTTAATTATTTCATTATAACATCGTCAAGTTTTCAGGCGTCAGAATTAAAAAAAATATCACTAGTGAAGTAGTTTAGTTATGTATAGTGTAAGTGATCTCTAAAAAAAAGGGGTTTAACGCTTGAAGCCGAGGTGTGAGAGGTTGAAGTGTATGGGGTAGGGGTAGATATCTGTCTGAGGGCTAAGGTGTGGAGGTTAAGGTGATGGAGTTGTAAGAATGAATGGAACGGAGGTATAAATGGGGAGGGGTAGAGGTTTGTAGTGAGGGAGGAGGTTGTAGGGTATATAGTTTGGAGTAGTTTTTATTGAAGGGGGTGGAGATATGAGAGTCTAGGTGTGAGGGGGTCTTAAGAGGTGGTGTGAAGGAAAGTGTAACGTGGAGGTAGAGGTAGGCTACAGTGTGTGGTGGTAGAGGTACAGTGTGGGTGTGTGGTGGTAGAGGTACAGTGTGGGTGTGTGGTGGTAGAGGTACAGTGTGGGTGTGTGGTGGTAGAGGTACAGTGTGGGTGTGTGGTGGTAGAGGTACAGTGTGGACGTGTGCAGGTATGGGTTGAAGGTGTGGAAGTGTGATGTGGGGCTGAAGGTGGGTGTGGGGCTGCAGGTGGTGTGCGGGTGGAGGTGGGTGTGGGGCTGCAGGTGGTGTGGGGGTGGAGGTGGGTGTGGTAACAGAAACACTAGGATGTGGACTTATTGGAGACACCTTACCTAGTACAGTGGAATTTTCGGTAATACAATTGAAAAGGGAGTTAGAATTAACAACTGGGCATCCACTCTACAAACTGAATTAGTTACCATACTCACAGCTATCAAATTCATTGAAACCACTGTCACTGACAGTCTCATCATCGCTGATTCTCTATCCTCACTACTTGCTCTTGACACCCTCAACTCCAGTTGTCACGCGCTTGTGTCAAGGTCAAACTGTTGTGGATCCCCTCGCACATACGACTCAAAGAAAATGATAGAGTTGATGCCCTCGCCAATCTCGCGTCTAACAAAGACACTGTTGAATACAATCTGGGTCTGTCAAAAAGAACCCTTAAAACTGTAATTAGGAAGTACCTTATTGATGAATTTGACGCAAGCAAATAAGTGCAAACAGGCACTAGTCGATCCATAGTTTTCCTTGAGATGTATCGAGTGAAACGTGTGTGGAGCGGATAATAGGATCACTGGATTGCAATATGTTGTAGCCGCTAGACCGGGGTTGGGATATGGGTGCCTCTGGCAGTATGTTCCTCGAGCAGATGTGAGCAAGACTAAATGTGGAGTGTGTGGTCCAACGTATGGCCACACACTTGAACACTACGTGCTCGGCTGTGTGAAGATGGAACCTTTTAGGGGCGGGTCTAAGCACTTTGTGTGTGAAATGGCACAACACTTCATCTCTATGGCAAAATGGCTGACATATGAAGATTGTATCCAATTTTTTTTTGCACTTAGTAGTGATATCTGTTCCTATGTATAGAACCAAACACACACTGTGCTTGAATACCTCAGGCAAATGTGAATAACTGTGTGCGGCCAGACATATACTGCCTCACACTCCTGTACTCACGTGGTTGCTAATAAGTTACCCTGTATGTATAGAACTAAACAAAGAATTTATTTGAAATACTGTGTAACATTCAGTGCCATAATATCCTGACAACGAGGGTTGGATGCTTATATGAGCAATAGGGGTTGGGTGTAAATGGGACTGCCCAGTATAGGCCAATAGGCCCGCTGCAGTTTCCTCCATTCTTATGTTATGTTCTTATGTTAGTTATTCTGACTCTTTGTAAACCCTTCTCTGTAATCCTTTTGCGCTACCCCTCACAGGATGAGTACGGGGTGCACAGTAAACTAGCCGCTGTAAGTGGCAAATTATAAATTAAAATTTAATGTGGAATTCACAAGTTGACCTGATGTGTTACTGGCGTTGACCGTAATATATCACTGGCAGGTATAGATGTATGCGTACCTTCCTTGTGGTCTTGATACCTAATTAAGTTTTTAAGACAAGCTGGTAATGATGTGGTACTGGCCTACACCAGATGTTAACCACGCATTGCCTTTTTAATCGAGAATTCGAAACCAGGAGCACGTAATTGCCAGTCCATTATGATACAGAGTGAGTGGTTATTAAAGCTGGGGTCTGTATGAATTGTGTGAGAAGTGAGCCTTGTACGCGCGTGTGTGGAGGCGCTGAACAGTGGGAACCTTGTGTTGGGATAAATTTGGATTAGGTGCACGTAGTTAATGGTACAGTGTAGAGGATATAACAATGGAAGAGTAAGAAGTGAATGGAAGAGGTTGAGGAGTGGTAACTAAAGTTGGTAGATGGGTTACGGCCTGGAGTGGGGTGGCACCATAAGGTAAGTGTCAGCTGTTTGATCACCTCGTGAAGGTAGCCACGCTCGCCTGCCTCGTCGCCTAACTACACCGAGTGTGAAAACTACGTGCTTAAATCTCAGAGTAAAATAACAAAGTTAAGTCTGTTCAACCTTGATGTCACCAATAACCATGTCATATAAAGTGTTCAGTGACCATACTTATGTGAGGTACAGTATCTGTTATGGTCCACAGTAGTTGGAATAGTTTAACATCCCCGCAACGCGAAAAAGCAACTGACGGTTTTTGGTAAACAGAAATAACATTTTTCCTTTTATTACTAAAACTAATTGGAAATTAATTTGTTTGAGGTAAACTATAATTTATTTAATTTAAGTCGTCGTTTGTCATCATATGAGAGCCAAATTACTCAACGTAGATAAGTTAGTGGAGGTCCTTGGTTCGATCCCAGGCCAGATGGGAGACGTAGGTTTTCATCTTGTATATACTGTATACTTGCTCATTGAGAAAAAAAATAAATACAATGTGATACTCTTGACGAATGAGGTCCGGCCATTTAGAGGTTTATGTACACATAGACAAGTGTGACCTTGACGAGCACTGTGAGCCGGGCAACAACTCCCCGATCAAGTAAGATGCTACTCCTACATACAGCATAAAGACTCAACTAAACTACGATCTGTCTTGAGGGCACAACACAAACCATCCTCGTTGGTTGTATAATAATTTATCAAATAAGAATAATGGAATTACACACAACTATAGAAAAATCTTGATAAACATATTGCAGAAAAATTCATTCTTTCGGTGGACACTAGCAAACATCTGGTGTGAAGGCTTCATGTTAAAAATATAAGATGCTCATTACTTCACTGTAATAACCACACTTCTTGTCCTGGCGATGTTGAGGCGGCTTGGATGACTCGTGAGGTCGACATAATGAAGCTCTTCCCTGTGTGGCGGGACAGGTGGTGTGTGGTGGGACAGGTGGTGTATGGCGGGACAGGTGGTGTGTGGTGGGGATTAGTTTTGTATACCATGGTAAAACATCCCACTTGACCTACAATAATTGTCTGGGAATGTTGTAGCAGTTGAGTCACGTCAGATCAGGTGACCATGTGAACTGAGGATAGTTACTTGAAAAGGGTAGTTTTATACACCACACCACCCCCCCCCCTCCCTCTCTCAAGTGCCGACGTGTGTACGAAAGGCAGGGTAGCTCTTTAGTGCTTGCTCGCTTGTTCTGGGCGATGTCCGTGGCACTTTTTGAGCTAGGTAGCTGAAATTGTGACCAAGTGCTTTGGCAAACACTTGATCTTTCTAATTTTTTTCTTTTTTGTTTACTAATATTTTGAACATATCATGAGGGCCGGGGTACTTGTTTATTGTTTAGTTATTATTAAACACTGCGTCCCACTGTTTACCAGTGGATATATGAGGGATCCCTGACTTTGGGTTAGGTTAGTTTGGGTTAAGTTAGGTTAAAAGTAGTACACCATATTTCTCTCAGCTATATAAAAATAATAATTCATTGTACTTACCAATGATGAAGACAATAAGAGCCACTAACACGACTCACCGCTTCTTACCTGCCGGATTTGGCGTGCGCGCTGACAATACGTGTTATCATCACCACTGTTGAATTCACACTAACAACGCTCACCCGCTCAGGCAGTCACCCGCTCTGCCGCCGAACACCCGGGATTTGCCTCCCTCCCTCTCTCTCCACGTATTTAGGTTACTAACATGTGATTTGGACAAAGCTTCTATGCCTGTTTATCCTGATTTAAAGTGATTTTATAATACTAATCGTTGTTGAATGGAGTGGGGTAGTGGATTTACATCATATTCAATGCTCTTGAAATCGAATGCATCTTGATCTACCCCCTGTTTGTCCAGTCTTCTCTCAAAGGTCAACACGTTGAAAACACAGTTGTCTACTCAAATAAGCTGTTTTGTGTATATTAGTATTACGTAATGAGAAGCTGTTTTATCTCAGCTGCTGTGGACAGCACATGTATGATGATCAACTTGAAATTATAATTACGAATAAGGCCTTAAGCGATGTTTATCTTTAGCTAACAGAGACGGTCTTTATAAGTCAAATTGTTCAGCAGGGTTAACAGTTACGTAGCCCTTCTCCGAATACCTTGTACACACAGTAAACAAAGTATCGCGCAGGGGAGGTCTGCTGATTTCGGTAATGATTGATCCATACATCACCTGATGTGTCAGGAGGGTTGATATGCGTGCCTGTCTGGCAGAGGTTTCCATCTACTGTACCTATGGTAGGGCCATATTCGTTACGTCCCACAGGACCAGCTTAATACCATTAGCACTGTTACATTAATTATCTTAAACGCATATTCTACTATCCCTCGCCCGTGGTGTCATATTGTTTCACACATAATCCGCGCTGTACTTTTTTTTTAATGTGTGTACACCACCCCAAGTTTTCTGCTTCTAGATCCCCAGATCAGACGTACATAGATTTTTTTTTCTATTATCATTTCACCACCTGCCGGCTTACTTGCCGTTTGGGCGGATGGTCTATCCAGTGTTAGCACAGGAGGATACTGGAATCTGGAAAACCTGTGGTGTTTGGTAGTGAGGGTCACACAGGAGGGAGGGTGTAGGTTCAACATCAGGGAGAATAACACCACAGACAGTCAACCGCATTATGTACCTAACCAACAACAGACAGAATCCACATGAACTCTATTACACAGTTATCATATCATAAGCTACAATGAAGCAAGAACCGTGTTATACTGTACTGTATGTTGGACTAAAGGGAGACACTAAGGAGAGGGCCTGGATGGCAGATAGGGAATCACATATAAGCACCCCGTTTAATCTCTAGGTAGTGCTCGACCAGTTAGGAAGCTTTTTACTTTTACTTTTATCCTCTTCACCACTGATCGGCTCGTTAGCCGGTTGGGCGATCGGTCACGTCTCTGTTATGCACTGTTGGCAAGTACTGGGCATGCACCGGCTCCGGAATATACCTGAACCTGCTCCACTGTTGGTCAAGTCTTGTCTTGAAAGAGCTCACACTCGGTGCTGTCACATCACTTTCTGGTAGATTGTTCCAAGAGTTCACAACTCTCACTCCGAAAAAGTTTGCCCTCACAGTTTTCTGGCCCTGCGGCTTCTTCAATCTTGAGCTGTGACCCATTGTGGGGCGAGCGTCCGCCAGCTCCAAGTAAGAACACTCGACTGAGTAGTGCCCCTTGAGATGCTTATACACCTCAGTTAGGTCACCCCTTGCCCGTCTGTAGTATAAGCTAGGCAAGTTCAGGCGCTCCAATCTCTTAGGGTAGCTGAGGTGCCGAAGTGCAGGCACCAGTCTGGTGGCCCTCCTGCAGGCGGGTCCACGTCAGGTGACAAGATTATAGTTACAGTAAAGAAGGTATTGGGAGAGTGAAAACATTGGACACTGAAGAGAAGACATTAGCGTATTATTCTCTCAACATGGGGAAGGAAGATTTAAATCAGTTTGCATGTTGACTATTGTGGTGGAATAATTAGCAAATACACAATTTTATCTTAAAACTCTCTAAAAGATACACAGTTTGCCAAAAGAATAACTAAGAACTGTGTAGGCCTATACAGTATGTAAATTGTTAAAATTAAATGTCCTTTTGTAAGTTTTAGCCCCATGAAATGTGCGCGGGCACACACACACACACACACACACACACTTAAAACATCAAAACTACGTAGCCAAAGAATAAATATAAAAAATACCGCTGTAACTGAGGTAACTACCTTATGGTCATTTCCTGTTTGACATTCCTCCTAGAAGAACATTGAAAGGAAGATAGTCAAGGCGCTGCCGGAGCGATTGTTCCCGTACTTGACCAGGAAAAGCCGAGTATAATAGAGACGGAGGGGGGCGGGGGTATACAGTTTACGTAACGGGAAACTAAATGCTTTTAGAGAGTAATATTTGAAGGAGAATATTTAGAGTAAATATTAATTGATAAAAATGCATGATTAATTAATTAGGGATGTGTGTATAGTCAGTACTGTGTAATTGTTGGTGAAATAAATCAACAGGGCAGTTGCCTTGGGCGAAGCTCTTGGTGACGTACTCTGCGTTTATACTCGGCTGTGCAGTATTCAGAGTTATACCGTATGACAAACAGATCGATTATATTACCTCCGTGAATATTCCATTGTTGTTATAGGAGCGGTGTATGGTGTTGCTGGTTTTATAGGGGCAGTGCATAGTATTGGTGTTGTTATAGAAGTGGTGTATTGTGTTGATATTATAGCAGTGTATAGTAGTTGTGTTGTTTACAGGGACATAGTATATATATATATATATATATATATATATATATATATATATATATATATATATATATATATATATATATATATATATATATATATATATATATATATATATATATATATATATATATATGTGTGTGTGTGTGTATATTACTGTATAGAAATGGAGTTTACTGGTAATCATTTTACAACTATGGGACTCCTTGACAATATGGTTTTCGTGGCCATTGGTGTGTACAGTACTGTGTGTTCTTGACCAATGTTTCTTGACAATTATATTCACAGAGCTTCTTGTCGATATATACAGTATATAAATACCGTCAACCGGATGAGGTCTGCCAAAATACTTGTAACATTTACAATCGTGGTTGCTGTAGTTGTAATATTTAACTATGGGGCTATTGAAAAACACGACGTTCAAAAACAAATACCCAGAAATATGAAAAATGAACATCAAACGTGTAGAGATATATTTGAAATTGGAAGTAGATCGAAAAAGATGTCAAACATGACGGACTTACTAGTAAAAGTGATCTCACGGAAGAAAAAAAAGAGAGAATTCCTGCCAGAATTATTTTATGAGGTGGCGGCCCAAGAATCTCCCTCTATGATTCGTGACCACGTTCATGACGGCTCTGGTCTCCAGGGTACCAACCTCACACTCGCTAAGGTTAGTAGTACTACGTCTCACTTCACGCCTCTCTTTATACCCTCGATATGTAAGTCTCTGTCTTCACGTAATTCTGCATAAACTTTGTCTACACGCCTCTGTGAATATTCCAGTTCAGTATTGACGGATATGACTTATTTACGAACCTTTCTCAAGACACTTGCAAGAGGGGTGTGGTTATCTATGCTATAGGCAAGACCGTAGAGCCAGCCAGGCGAGGGTACAGGGAGAGGATGTTTTTGAAGAATTCAAGTGATGTAAAATTAAATTGTCGGGTGTATCTACAGATCCCCAAACTGTAGCTGAAAAGGAGTTCCAGAGGCTGGTTGCAAGCGAGGTCAAGTCAAATCCAAAGGCGTTTTACCGTTATGCAAAGTCAAAATTAAAAACAGGAGTAGGAGTATCGGACCTGAGGCTTGAAGATGGTAGTTATGCAGATTCTGACCAGGACAAAGCTGAGCATTGAACAGCTTATTTTCCTCGGTGTTCACAAGAGAGGATGCGATTAATCTTCCTGCGTTTGAGGACAGACGGTTCAACACATCACTGACCCACATTGTGTTCTCAGAAGAGGTTATAAGAAATAAATTGTCAAAGGTAGAGGTCCATTAGAGTCCCGGCCCTGACATGGTGCATCCCAGTGTGCTGAAAGAGTTGTGCAACGAGCTTGCTGATCCCCTGAAGATCCGGTTCTATAAATGCCTGGTTGAGCAAAAGGTCCCCAGTGATTGGAAAATGGCTTATGCGAGTCCTATCTTCAAGTAGGACGATCGTCACTCCACGAACAACTATAGACCGGTGAGCCTGATCAGCATAGTATGTAAAGTACTTGAGAGCATTATAAAAGATGCCATGACGGAACATCTGCAAAACAACCTTGTAAAGGATTGCCAACACGGTTTCATGCCGTGGCGCTCCTTTTTATCACACAATTGCTCAAGGTACCGGATATTTGGACCCATATTCTGGAACAGGGTGGTAATATTGACAATATATACCTAGATTTTGCCAAGGCTTTCGACAGTGTACCCCAAGAAAGGCTGAAAATTAAACTGGAAGGGTACGGAATTCGGGGAAATGTCCAAGCGTGGATCAAAGACTTTCTATGTGACCGCAAGCAGTGTGTGGTGATTAATGACACAAAATCATCATGTGTACCTGTCACATGCGGGGTACCACAGGGCAGTGTATTGGGCCCGCTGTTGTTTGTTTCATAAATGACATGCCTGATGCCGTACATTCCTCCATACAAATGTTTGCGGATGATGCCACGTTATTTCGTGAAATTAAAAACCAAGCAGACTGCGAAGAGCTGCAGAAGAATCTCTGTGTGCTCCAAGAATGGTCAAAGAAATGTCTGCTAAGATTCAATGTCACGAAGTGTAAGAGGATGCACCTGGGATGTACCAATGGTAAGGAGGCGTATCAGACGTCCCAACGGAACAAAGAAAGTGCTTCTCCATCTGGAGTACGGTCACCCCGTTTGGACCCCGAGATATGCAAGGGATTGTCAGTTGATTAAAATTGTCCAAAGCAGGGCCTCTAGACTGGTGCCTGCACTACGGCACCTCCGCTACCCTGAGAGATTGGGGCGCCTGAACTTGCCTAGCTTATACTACAGACGGGCAAGGGGCGACCAATTGAGGTGTATAAGCATCTCAACGGACACTACTCAGTCGAGTACCCTTACTTGGAGCTGGCGGACGCTCGCCCCACAAGGGGTCACAGCTCAAGGTTGAAGAAGCCGCAAGCCCAGAAAATTGTGAGGGGTAACTTTTATGGAGTGAGAGTTGTGAACTCTTGGAACAATCTGCCAGAGTGTGTTGTGACGGCACCGAGTGTGAGCTCTTTCAAGACCAGATTTGACAAGCACTGGAGCAGGTTCAGATACATTCAGGAGCCAGTGCATGCCCAGTACTTGCCAACAGTGGGCAACAGAGACGTGACCGATCGCCCTAGCGGCAAACGAGCCGATCAGTGGTGAAGAGGATAAAAGTAAAAGTAATACATGTATGTTTACGTGTTTCTGTTACCATTTTTTTACAAATTTCATACTTTATAACACAGATCATGTTCACATTTGTTTATACACCATTAGTATTTTTTTCGGGGAATAGCCCACCGGGGCACAAGACATTGACCCACAGCTGGGCCTAGGGGTCGAAAAAATAAGGCTAAAAATAAATTAAAAATAGAAAAGAAAAAATATTACGTATATTAATCTACACCACGAAGATGCCGGAAAACCAGCTTTTTAAAGTGAGACATTGTATGAGTATGGAAACACTGTATTATCACATGTGTATGAATCCTATCACCATACAGTACAGGCACAGCATTTGTTATTCTGAAATTCCACTGCTATGATACAAATGAACAATATTCACCCTCGTACAGTATTAGTATGCATAAGCCCTTGTTTCCGGATTCTTTTATCAGGAATGGAGGTTTGAGCAGGCGAAGGGACAACTGCCATATCTTGCATGTCAGATGAGGGAGTTCCGAGCTGAGGACCTTCATACATGTGTTAGGAGGAGAAGTGAAGTCTTGGGCTCTACGCACATCACCTATGTGGGTGACTCCCGAGTGAGGCAGCACGTGGAGGTCCTTCTCGACCTTATCCGGGACCTACAGCCTAAGATAACCACCCACCAGGTGAGGACCTGCCTATTCTTAAGTACACTATGTACACATTGTAATATGCTGTTTTGTAAAATAATAATGGTGATAAGTGTAGACAAACTAAGTTTTAGGAATGTTGTGTTTTTTATCAGTACACAAGTTTTTCTAGGTGTAGGACTTTGATGTGGCTGGAAAATTTATTGACATGACACTAATTTCTGATAAGTTATGTAATCCTGAATATTTCAATGTTTCACATAATGTACATAAATTTTAAATTTAAATGATGGTTAAAGTTGATAAAAAGTCACTTGACTGCGAAAAAGCTCTGTGATTGGTTGGGGCGAGCTTTCCAGCGGGAGGCAGCCAGCTGTGGTTGTCCAACCTTCTTGGCTGATCGGCTCTGTAAATAAATATTACTGTATTACTTTACTTACTTACTTTTATTAGATAATTAATTGTGTTTTACTGTGCAATACTATTTTGAATATATAGATATTACTAAGCACATAAACTAATTCAATGGATATTAGCTGCCCATACTACAAATTTCAATAGTAGGCTACTATATGAACATTCCAAACAATATTGGTATTATTTTGGTTTTGGTCATCTGGGGAACCTTAAGATTCTAACTATAGGATTAAGTACTTTAAACAATAAGACACATTTTGTCGCAAAACATTTTTCAATCGCATAAGAAAATACAGGTCATAGGTTAGGTTAGGTTAGGGTATGATGAGTTATAAGGTTAGCTTAATATACTTCGGTAAGGGGGAGGTAGTATCTCAAAACTAGTGATTTCCCATAGAAATGAAGGTCAAAATCGTTCATAACACATCGCAAACCACCAGAAAAAACATAGTCTGCATGTCGAAGTACAGGGATGACCAAAACTTAAAATTTACCCAATATAGCCTATCTCGAATTTAAACATCAAAATACTTATGGTAGTTAAAGTAAAATTTTACCCATTAATTTACTTTTCCTTTTTTACTTTTATCCTCTTCACCAGTGATCGGCTCGTTAGCCGCTTGGGCGATCGGTCACGTCTCTGATTACTTTTACTTTTCTTTTATCCTCTTCACCAAAGATCGGCTCGTTAGCCGCTTGGGTGATCGGTCACGTCTCTGTTATGCACTGTTGGCAAGTACTGGGCATGCACCGGCTCCTGAATGTACCTGAACCTGCTCCACTGTTGGTTAAGTCTGGTCTTGAAAGAGCTCACATTCAGTGCCGTCACAACACTTTCTGGTAGATTGTTCCAAGAGTTCACAACTCTCACTCCGAAAAAGTTTACCCTCACAGTTTTCTGTACTTGCGGCTTCTTGTGGGGCGAGCATCCGCCAGCTCCAAGTAAGGACACTCGACCGAGTAGTGCCCCTTGAGAGGCTTATACACCTCAATTAGGTCACCCCTTGCCCGTCTGTAGTATAAGCCATTCAAGTTCAGGCGCTCCAATCTCTCAGGGTAGCTGAGGTGCCGAAGTGCAGGCACCAGTCTGGTGGCCCTCCTTTGAACATTTTCAACCAACTGACAGTCCCTAGCATATCTCGGGGACCAGACGGGGTGACAGTACTACAGATGGGGAAGCACTTCACTCTTGAAGATCGTTACGAGGGACGGACCGTCTAGATATCTGAACGACCTTCTTATAAGACCCAATAATTTATTTGCCTGATTTACCTTCTTCTCGCAATGGCCCGAGAACTTCAGCTCATTGTCATCATACACACCTAGGTCCTTCTCACATTCAGTCTCAAATAGTGCAGTTTCTTCATCCCGTTGGGGCATATGATACGCCTCCTTACCGTTGGTACGTCCCAGGTGCATCCTCTTACACTTCATGACATTGAATCTCAGCAGCTATTTCCTCGACCATTCTTGGAGCCCACAGAAGTCCTTCTGCAGCTCTTCACAGTCCGCTTGGTTCTTGATTTCCCGAAATAACTTGGCGTCATCGGCAAACATTTGTATGGAGGAGTGTACAACGTCAGGCATGTCATTTATGAAACAGAAACAACAGAGCGCCCAATACACTGCCCTGTGGTACCCCGCTTGTGACAGGTACGGATGATGATTTCGTGCCATTAATCACCACACACTGCTTGCAGTCATGTAGAAAGTCTTCTATCCACGCTAGGACATTTCCCTGAATTCCGTACCCTTCCAGTTTAATTTTCAGCCTTTCGTGGGGTACACTGTTGAAAGCCTTAGCAAAATCTAGGTAAATATTGTCGATATTACCACCCCGTTCCAGAATATGGGTCCAAATATCCAATACCTTGAGCAATTGTGTTAAGCAGGAGCGCCTCGGCATAAAACCGTGTTGGCAATCCTTTGCAAGGTTGTTTTGCAGATGTTCCATCATGGCATCTTTTATAATGCTCTCAAGTACTTTACATACTATGCTGGTCAGGCTCACCGGTCTATAGTCGATCGTGGAGTGACGATCGCCCTTCTTGAAGATAGGACTCACATAAGCCACTTTCCATTCACTGGGGACCTTTTGTTCATCCAGGCATTTACAAAACAGGATCTTCAGGTGCTCGGTAAGCTCGTTGCACAACTCTCTTAGCACTCCAGGATGCACCATGTCAGGGCCGGGACTCTTATGGACCTTTAGCCTGGACAGTTTATTTCTAATACCCTCTTCTGTGAGCACAATGTGGGTTAGTGCTGTGTCAAACCGTCTGTCCTCCAACGCAGGGAGGTTAATTGCATCCTCTCTTGTGAACACCGAGGAAACGAAGCTGTTCAATGCCTCAGGTTTAACCTGGTCAGAATCTGCATAACTACCATCTTCAAGCCTCAGGTCTGATACTCCTACTCGTGTATTTAATTTCGACTTTGCATAGCAGTAAAACGCCTTTGGGTTTGACTTGACCTTGCTTGCAACCAGCCTCTGGAACTCCTTTTCAGCCCTTCTACACTTTATCTTTGCTTGGTTTCTGGCTCTTCCATACATCCTCCTGTCCTGCTCATCGTTTGACCCAACCCACGTCTTGAATTTCTGGGTTTTCTTCTTTACTCTGTTGACTGTCGCGTGGTTCATGTGTAGGGATCCCCTCGTATTCCTAGAGGCACTGGGTTTGGTCTTGGGTATATATTTATTGATCAAATGGGTCACTTTACTAGTTATGATATTCAGCGTAGTGTCTGCGTTCTTGTGCCTTAATGAGTCAGGCCAGGTGATACCTCTCATTTGTTCCCTCATCCCGTTGTAATTTCCCTTGTAATATTTGCACCTTGGCCTGGCCTTATCCTGAGCTAGGTAACAGTTAAATCTGAATGACAACACTATATGATGACTGGTGCCAACTGGGGCAAGGTGTTCCAGTTTGGCCACCATACCCTCCTCATTTGTTATGATGAGGTCATGTGGCTTCGGTGTTTGCTCCCCTCTGTAATGTGTCTGGTCTCTAACGTGTTGGAACAGAAAATTATCTCTTGGAGTTTCTACAAAAAGAGTAGCAGGGATATTCAAGTCATTTGGGGTGGACTCGTTTCTCCAGTTGATGTTGCCATAGCTAAAGTCCCCCATGATAAGGAGGTGGCTAGGGTTGAGCACCGCCACGTTGTCTATTAAGGCTCTTAAGTTCCTTTGATTTAGTGGGCCACAGTTTGGGGATCTGTTCATTAGTGAATCATCAAAACAATAACAGCGCTATGTTGTCATGTTAACTAGCATCGGGCATTATGAAAACAAACTCCAGACAATGTCATTACAGTAAGTCCTCGCTTAACGTTCCTAAAAACGCGACGTTATACGAAACAGCGTTAAGCAGGTCAATTTTCCCCATAAGAAATAGATAAAATACGGGAGTTATGTTCCTGGGTCTCCCTTTGCCCCATGAAATACATTACTGTACATATACAGAAAAGCATTGCCATTTCTATAGGAAAAAATGCATACATATACAACTACTGTACTACTGTAAGTTTGTATTGGTACTCACCGATGGGTGGAGGTGGTAGAATGAGTGTGTGGTGGGTAGTGAAGTGGAGGAGGTGAATGGCGGGAGGGGAGGAGTATGGCGGGAGCGGAGGAGTATGGCGGGATCGGAGGAGGGTGGCAAGTCACTAAAACTTTGCTGAGCCGAGAGAGCGTAGCGCGGCCAGACGAGAGAGGGCGATGCACCATAAAAAGTAGTCCGTGACAACGCAAAACGAAGTTGTACTGAGTCATCGGGACGCTAAAAGAATTTTTGGTATCTAAGGATTAGCAACGTAGTACCGAAACAATGTTAAGTGGGCCGACGTTATACGAGGACTTACTGTACTTCTAAATTTACTTGTATATCCATCTAGTACTGAAAAAATGGAGAAAGTCTACAAGATAAGAGTACTACATGACAGATGAGCTGATGTGAACATGGGAGTTTTCAATGTCCAAAAGAACATAAGAATGGAGAAAACTGCAGCGGGCCTATTGGCCCATACATGGCAGTCCCATTTACATCCAACCCCTATCACTCATATATCCATCCAACCTGTGTTTGAAGCTGCTCTTCACGGCACATTTCTTCATTTACGAAATGTCCATGACTTAGACCATAAAAAACTCCCTTAAAACTTACCCATACTGGGCAGTCCCATTTACACCCAACCCCTATCACTCATATATCCATCCAACCTATCGGGGCATGTTTGAAGCTGCTCTTCACGGCACATTTCTTCTCTTACGAAATGTCCATGACTTAGTCCATAAAAATACCCTTAAAACTTACCTGAACTTGGCATTTGGGGTCTGAATAGGCCATCCCTACTACTACCTCTGACTGCAGTGACGAGTTTGAAACTAGTGACGTCATTGCAAATAGCTGCCTTGTTTCTAGAGAAATAAACTTATTTCAACTATTATAGCAGGACTTTATACTTTTATTATAAATTATATATACCTTATCACTCTACGAACGTGGCAGAGTGTATTTCTTGTGTTTACCCTGAACTGTCAACTCGTCCATTCAGCACTTAGTTTTTTTTTATGTGGACTGTACTGTATTGCTGTCAGATCATCTCTGAGGCTTACTGACTCTACTGAGCACCTCCGTCAATCTTCAACCAATTTCCGCAATGTTGCTTGTAACAACAATCTTTTATGTAGAAAAATCCTAGTTACTCAATTGGTAAATATCGTGGAACTGCTTATTACATATGTAACCCTGGGTTGTGTTCTAAGTATATTGTTTACTGGAGTTTATATGCCAGGTTTACTCTAACATTAAAATGTTTTACACCTTTATCTTATGTAGTACTTTCTGAATATATAGTAGTCGCATTTTAACATAAATTTTGGTAATTGACTTACATTTTGAAATGCCACTGTGATCCTTTTCGTCACTGATCATCTTGTTAGATGCTTGGGCGGTCGGTCATGCCTCCATTAGGTAATGTTGGCAAGTACTAGGCATGCACTCGCTCCTGAATGTATCTGAACTTGCTCCAGTGTTGGTCAAGTCTGGGGATGCTACTTTTTGCTTTTACCACTTTGGTATGGTTCTTACTGTACATTATTAAGATTTTGTACTTTGTACATTTCAAGAAGTACACTATAATTTAACTTAGATAATTTCTTCCAGGATAAAATTTTTAAGTACTTTTAGACCATTGAAAGAACATAGTGGTTCTTGTTGTTCAGGGTGATGTCCTTACTGTTGAGAAGTTCCTGGGAGAGGAAGGCTCCAAGCATTGGAAGAAATACAAGTATAACTTTCGAGTCGAGTGTGCTAGAGCAGAAGGATTGATCATTGACTTCCACTGGGCGGCGCTCATTGACAAGAGTGAGAAGCCCCACACCAAGATGGAAGATGTTAAGATTGGGGCACTCCAGCTCTTTCATCGATGGCTTAATGCACCCAAGGAGCTTCTGCCAGATCTTATAATTTTAAGTGAGTTTCAAATCAACAACTTTTTCCTTAATATTAGATTGAAAAAGGCAGAACACATATAACCAAACCATGGTCAGTTACCATGAAGGTGTTCGGGCACTATTTATTTTTTATTTTAGCCATTTGAAAGTGAAAATTATTAAAAACTATTTTTGGGGGCTGAAAATTAGCAATCAAGACCAAAATGTCGAGTGATCACCAAGGTAACGTCTTGTGGTCATGGCCGAAACATTCACAGGTATAATTATGGAAGAAAGTGACTATACTGTACTACTGAATTATTCTTTTCCCATTAAGTTTAAACTTACTGAGTATGTGGCAAATGATGACCAAAGGTAGTTTTTGTTCCACTGTTAAGAGGTGTAGTGCAGGAATTAGTATACTATAGGTAAAATAACTGTTATGACTGATACATACATACAAGAGATGGGAAAGATGATAGAGATATGGGGTAAATGGGGTGCCATTCACGGGAGGGACTCAGAGGAAACATTCTGTAAATGTAATTTCTAACCATTGATGAGGAATTTAGCGCAGTCTAGGTAAAATTACTTAACACTGGCCAAAATTTTCATTATAAGTAAATAATTATTAACTATATAGGATGGACACTGACTTTATTAAGAGAGGTGATCTTAATAGGTCTAGGACATGTAAACATCTGAGGACACAAGTCAAAAGCCAAAGAAGTTATGAGTTAGAGTTACACAGAATGACTACACAAAAACATAAAAAATTAATATTACCTGTTTTTATCTATTGTAATCTCGGATTTAATGTATATTTTTTCACTGCAAAGTAGGTATTAAAAGGTAGTGTACATCCTTCACTCCTCCCTGGACATTTAGTCAGTTTAACATAACAGAAGTGAGTAAGATATATGACACGACTAAAAGTTAAGGTGCCATGGGTCACACAAATGTATCTCACCATTGAAACCAGAATGGATCTCATGAATTTATATGGTGTACAGGTGGATCAAAGTAGGTCCTGAAGAAGTGAGGAGAGGGGTGGAGTGTGAGACTCGGTGAGAATGACTAGGCCTCATCTAAGAGGTGACTGAGGCCAGTGGCTATGACTAGCTGAAGTTAAGACCTTAAGATTGCTCACAGAAAGGATAAATTAGGAGAAACAGAATTAAGGATAAATGGAGAAGATTAAATTATATAATAGGGCATAACATGAATTCAGTTGACTTCCTTTAAATCACAAAATACATCTTTCTCCTTGTCCTAATCTGGAGTAACCTGGAGTATGAAGGAGGAATTGACTAAACATGAGAGAGAAACACATATACAAGCTTAACTACCCCTTACCAGGAGATGCAGTGGCACCTTCTAACTCCTGTCCAGTTTTCCCACTGGTAAGAGACCTCTTTCAGCACTAGCTGCTCCAAGCTCTTAACCCCAAACATTCGCTCCTTCCACAAAACTGCATTTATTCACTCAAAATCAATACATAACTCCATCATTTCAAACAATCTGCCTTTCAAAGGCTAGTTCATCTAAACAGCCAGAAGTTTTATGTACAACAATTTTCATCCTTGGCTACAATGGACAATTTTAAAGTGAGCTTAATTTTCCCCACAAAGCACTTTCTCAAGATTTCATAGTGATGTTAAATTCGGATTCACAGAAATTTCACACATTCATTCTGATATCAGTCTTAGTCAATATTAATAATACTACTGAAATACTTAAAGCACCTTTTCTGAAAATCTCTCGTACATAAATAGAGGAAAAATGCTCCAAAGAAGGATTTCATGAGTGAAATACTGTTTATACACCAAGAGAAGGTAAAATGCACTTAACAGTAGAAAGGTTTTTAATTGATAAAGACTCTTGCAGATACAGGGGCATGGCAGTTGCTGGATATCAGGCCTACTGTGTTGAAGCAGATAGATGAGTCTGCAGTGCAAGTAATGACAACAATACGGCCGCTGCTGAAGAGCCTGGCCACCCGCACCACTGTGGTATGGGCACTTCCTGACCCTTTCAAGGAGCACATTAGTCATGACTTTGGTAAATTGCTAGTTTTGGTAACTTAACATACTCTTAACACGAGCTTTGGTAAAAACATGCATTCAACAATACCTTTAGTGTTAACATCTGTTTAATGACAGTTTAAGTGACATGCCGATAACTTTAGTATCTAGCATGCCTATAACAATAACTTTAGTATCTAACATGCCTATAACAATAACTTTAGTATCTAGCATGCATATAACAATAACTTTAGTATCTAACATGCATATAACAATAACTTTAGAGTCTAACATGCCTATAACAATAACTTTAGTATCTAACATGTATATAACAATAACTTAAGTTTAAGCCTTTAACAATAACTCAATAACAATAACTTTAGTATCTAACATGCTTTGCCTATAACTTTAGTATCTAATATAACAATAACTTTAGTATCTAACATGCCTATAACAATAACTTTAGTATAACATGCCTATAACAATAATTTTAGTATCTAGCATATAACAATAACTTTAGTATCTAACATGCCTATAACAATAACTTTAGTATCTAACATGCCTATAACAATAACTTTAGTATCTAACATGCATATAACAATAACGTATAACTTTAGTATCTAGCATGCCTATAACAATAACTTTAGTATCTAACATGCCTATAACAATAACTTTAGTATCTAGCATGCATATAACAATAACTTTAGTATCTAACATGCATATAACAATAACTTTAGAGTCTAACATGCCTATAACAATAACTTTAGTATCTAACATGTATATAACAATAACTTAAGTTTCAAAAAAGCCTTTAACTTTAGTATCAAACAGTATTAACTGAGACCAAATGTGAAAAGTACCTGGGTGTGTATGTTGACAACAAACTGAAGTTCTTGGATCATTGTGAGAAGGCGGATTAAGCAGCTAAGCTAATGGATCTTATAAGAAAGGCATTCAGATATCTTGTAACGCTCTTCAAAGGTGAGGACCGTGCTTCTCTTCATAGAGTACTGTCACCCCATCTGGTCTCTGAGATATTTTAAAGTCTGTAGTTAATAGAATATGTCCAAAAGAGAGCCACCAGACTGGCGCCTGCACGATGGCACCTCAGTTGCCCAGAGAGATTAGTACGCTTGCTTATCTTATACTGTAGGCATGCAAGGGGTGACTTTATAAAAGTTTATAAACATCTAGAGGGCGCTACTCAGTTAAATGTTCATACCTGGAGCTGGCTGATGCCCTTCCCACTAGGGGTCAGAGCTTAAGGTTGAAGGGAACCACAAGTTCAGAAAGCTGTCAGGGCAAACGTTTTTGGGGTGAGAGTTGTGAACTCTTTGATAAATCTACCAGAGAGCATTGTGATGTCACTGAGTGTGAGCTCATTCAGGACCAGACGTGTCCTTCATTGGTGCAGGTACAGATACATTCTGGAGCCAGTACTTGCCAACAGTGTGTAACAAAGATGTGACCAACTGTCCAAGCGGTTAATGAGCCGATCAGTGGCAAAGAGGATAAAGTAGATAACAATACCTTTTGTTTCTAATACCGGTAAGCCCTTAATGACACTTGATAATCAATATAAATGTACTGTAGTATTGGCAATGTCATCTTTCATGTTAGACATTTCCTCAAGAAAAAAAGAAAAACTTGACAGAAACTTTTTTATCATACCTTATTTACCTAATGGCCACCAAAACAAGAAGTGGCCATGCTGAGGAAGGGAGGCCAATGGCCGGTGTATGATCCCTCCATTGTTCTCGCTTCCATAGCTTGTGCTAGTAGACGATGACATAGGTCTACTAGACTACAGTACTATCTACTGTGTGAAGAAGCACTTCCTTATATTCGTCCTGCATGACACCTTGGCGAGCATAAAGTTGGTAGCACATGACATTATGAGAAAATGGCCTTGATTAACCTTTTATATCCTTCTCAAGATTTTGAATGCCTGTATGAAATCTGCCTTATTGTGTCTTGTCTGAAGAGTTGTTAGTGGACATTTGAGATGCTATAGTTCAAGAAACATCTTAGTGGCTTTAAACCTTTTCTGGAGGTAAGGTTTTCATGCCTTTATATGGTGTTTATATAAAAGAATGACTTATAATTCCTGAATCTCTGATGGATTTTTTCACTACTGATACTACCCGTTGCACAGTCTTCAGTGATTGGTCTATCATGACACCTAATTTTTTTTCTTTATCAACAGTATCCCAGAATGTGTTATTAAGAGAATAGTTGTGATTAGGGTTGTTTTATCCCTACATTTTATGTAGATGAGCATTTGCCAGTCTTGCGACATTTGAACAGGTCATGCAGATCTTTTTTTCATGGTTGTAACTTCACCTTGACTTTTTCCACCTTTCCAAATACCTTTGTATCATCTGCAAACTAGACAGTGTGACTCAATATAATTTCACAGATGTTGTTAATGTAAAAATTGCAAAGAGTGGATTGATCCTTGTGGTACTCCAGTGAGAACCTTTTCCATTCTGAATGTACAGTCTCGTTCAAGATTCTTCGAACACTGCTGGAGACAGCTGGCAACTCAAGGCCGTTTGTTTACTATAGTATGTAGTAAAAATTATGAATAAATTTAAAAGTGATCGGTGATTGGTTACTTAGTTCCCCGTTGCTTAATTAATGGTTGGGCTTTGTTTCGTATTATATTATACTACGTACAATAGTAAACAAACGGCCTTGAGTTGCCAGCTGTCTCCAACAGTATTCGAAGAATCTTGAACGAGACTGTGCATTACTCCATTTATGACTGCTCTTTGTTGCCTGTCTTCAAGTCAGTTGTTTATCCCCTAAAATATTTTGCCTGTGACGTCATGTGCCTGTCTTGTAGAGGCTAGCATCATGTGGGACTTCATCAAACACCATATAAAAATCTATGTACAGTCCCTCAAAAAAGGTATCTTTACTTTTTCTGTCTACAGTTTGAAACGCTGGACAAAGTGCTTTGATTTAGTCTCCAGTGCCCTGTCATATGTTGGCATGTCTGCTTGAAAGTATTCAAACACAGTATACACAACATCCCAGTGAATTTTAGGCTGAAAAATGCACATCCCTCAAAACACTTTAAGGGAAATGCACCCAAAATGCAATCTTTTGTGGGAGATAAATTTTGGGTTGTTTCAGCCATGATTGTGAAAATCACGAATTTTTTCAGAATTTCAATATACTGTAGGTACTCACGAACATGCTAATTAGTGATCTGTGGTTGAAAATGTTATACAGTATTTGGGTAATTTCTTGTCCTAATGACTCTCGGAAATTTGTATTTAGTTAAGCAATGCTAATTACCAGTACCACATGATTTTTCCATTGCATTCTTAGATGTTTTTGTTTTTCTTTATGAACTAAATTATTATTAATATTTTAATCCAATCCTACCAATTTGTAATGCTCTTTTAAAGAAAAAAACATACTTGTTAACATTAGATATAGTACATTTAAAACTAATCCACAGCGTGAATTACCATAAATATTTGGATAATTTACATTGAATATAATTTTATTAATATTACAGGTCATACTGGTCATTACACTCAGCAAACAAGCAGTATCTTAGAGTGGCTTCTATATGCACAGATTGCTCTTCAGCCAAATGAGGTAATTACGTGGGACTCCTTCTTACCAGTGGCCCATTCCTCAAAGATTGATTGCATGCAGTTTGCTGCAGAAAATATCAATGTGCATTTGCTGCCAATGTTCTCAACATTTCCAAGCCTTGTTTCATGGCACTGCACTGAGAGAATGCATGTTGGGCTTGAAGCTCTGACTGTGGCAGTACAGATGGTTCTCAACCATGTATGTAACCCTTATATGATTGGAGACTATTGCTGTTCCGAGTCCCATGAGTCATAGTGTGTGAGCCTTAAAAAACAAAAAAAAATCACTGAGTAATAGAAAACCCTCTGCTGAGCTAAGTTGGTGGCTGGGTATTGAGAGTATTGGTGAAGTTTTATGTTGAGGTAAGTTAAGTTGGTTTGAGCATATGGACAGAAGGGTCGAGAGATGAACAAATTTTAATGTGGAGGGGAGGGGAGCATGAATGCTGTATTGGAGAGAGGTTGCAAAAGATCATGCAGCCTGGAAACAGTAGAGCTGCCATCAGATATTCATGGCTAAACCAGCAAGTGTGAGAAAAGGCTAGAAAAAATTTATGATAATTATTATCAGCTACTTAACATATTTCTCCATTCAGCAAGGCATACCCCTTAGATTGTTTTAATAAAAAAATAATAATAATCAAAATACTTTTATTACAATCAAATTCCACATTACAATCCTGATACACATAAAAAATACTCTAATGCATTACAGCTGAAAAATAAAAGTTCAAGTTATGACCAAACATAAAACATTGAATCATGGATGCTAAATCTTATCAAACCTCTTATATTTATTTACTTTTTTTTACTATATCTGCATCCTAAAGTTTAACACTCATGGCCTTGGCAATTATTAAGAACATAAAAGCGACACATGCATTAAACATGAAATTTATCTGTTTTGAATACTGTATACTGATCTTGGCACATGAGTTGTATCGTCAGCCAAAGATCTCAGCGACCCCACCCTGAGTGTCGTACTGACAATACTTCTTAAAAGTAAGGTTGTATGTAAAGGTTTGGATTGGTGGATCTATTTTCGACTGCATTACTGTCAGGATAATCATTAAACAATCCAAAGGTAGAATTTTCATAACAAACTATTCTTTGTTATTTAAGATCATGAGAAGTTTCCAAAAGTTTGTATATTTGGTTAAATAATGTAGAAATTATATTAATGAATTTGCACCTCAACTACAACGAGGAACGAGGACTGCCACAAGATTCTCAGATCAAATTTTCTTCATTATTTAAGCAAATATTAGAACATTTGGAAACCTCTCATGATCTTAAATAACAAAGAATAGTTTATTATTATAAAAATTCTACCTTTGAATTGTTTAATATTTATCCTGACCGTAATGCAGCCAAAATTAGATCCACCAATCACCTTTACTTACAGCCTTACTTTACCAAGTATTGCCAGTACGAGACTCAGGGTGGGGTCACTGGATCTTTGTCTGACTGTACATGGTGTCTCATGGGTCACACATGAGTTGTATGGGGTGTCTCATGGGTCACACATGAGTTGTATGGGGTGTCTCATGGGTCACACATGAGTTGTATGGGGTGTCTCATGGGTCACACATGTTGTACGACGGGGTGTCTCATGGGTCACACATGTTGTACGACGGGGTGTCTCATGGGTCACACATGTTGTACGACGGGGTGTCTCATGGGTCACACATGTTGTACGACGGGGTGTCTCATGGGTCACACATGTTGTACGACGGGGTGTCTCATGGGTCACACATGTTGTACGACGGGGTGTCTCATGGGTCACACATGTTGTACGACGGGGTGTCTCATGGGTCACACATTGGACGGGGTGTCTCATGGGTCACACATGTTGTACGACGGGGTGTCTCATGGGTCACACATGTTGTACGACGGGGTGTCTCATGGGTCACACATGTTGTATGACGGGGTGTCTCATGGGTCACACATGAGTTGTACGGGGTGTCTCATGGGTCACACATGAGTTGTACAGGGTGTCTCATGTGTTGCACATGAATTGTACATAGGTCACACACCATAAGAAAATAAATGTTTTTCTCTATCTTTTTTCAGGCGAGGGAATTCTAACAAATTAACACAGATTGGGTGATGAATACCAAGTGAATGGCCAACGAGGTCTCCGGTGGCCTCACACCTCTTGATTTCTTACTCTGAGATCATCTGTTGTCTACCAAGATCATCAAAGAACATGTAAGGTAACCCCAGTGGAAAAAATCAAGAGGTGTGAGCTCCAAACGCTTCAGTGGTGATTTGATAGTTCTCATTGCCTATTGTGTATTAATTTGTTATGATTACCTCACCTAAAAAAAAAAGAGACCATTAATCTTGCAAGGGTATGCAAACTATGGGGTCTATACTGAGTATTCCAGACATGCCACACAGGACACACATTTTACACACCTGTCTCTTAATTATAAAAATTAACACCTCAGCCTTCTACTGCAACCTAACCTACAACATGATTTATGAATGCATACATCATCCTGTATTGTCATCATAAAATCAACTTAACCTACAATTCAACTCAATAGTACAGTATTATATACTGTACTGTACAGGACTGTGTATTGCTTCAGTTTTGTGTTGGATCATCCTCATCAATAAAGGGATATTTATTAACAGCTTAAAGCCAAATAAAGGCTTTCCCTGTTTTACAAAAATATTTTGTTCCAGAAAAAACATCATAAATTATTTTTCATAAATTTGATTACATTTTCTCAAAGCTTCCCATTATTAAAGCTGATATACAGTACTGTACATTCCTATGGAAAAAAATCACTAAAATGTCTTAAAATGGTACAAAAGATGTTTTTAATGAAAATTTTTGGCATGCACAGTTATGAGCTGAAGTCAAAATAAAGTGAAGGATATATAAAAGTTACTGAGAAACCGTGAGATTGTGAGGCCTAGCCAAGGAATATGGTTTTAATTTGGTAGTAATGCACCAACAGTAAAGTCTGCTGCATGATACATACATAAATTTACTCTTAAGGTTGTAAACACAATCTGTATTAACTCTGAGACAAAGATTTTTTTTTTTTTATCTTTGTAGTGTATTACTGTACATTAATGTACTAACTTTCAACATTAAAAAGTAAATTTAATTCCTCTTCACTTACAAGCAAACGTTCTAGTTTCTTTTCAAACTCCTTACACTTTTGCTTCTCATTCTCAATATCACCCAGAAATTTTGATGGGTCTTTTTTTTTTTTTATTTGCTCACTTGGAAATTCACCTTGCTTCTCAGCTTTACGCTTCCTTGTACATGGTGAGTAATTCTCTTTCGCATCCTCTGTCCATAATGGATCGGAAGTATCACAGGCACTCCACCAGGAATGTGGACTGGTAAATGATTGAAGTTTTTTGGGCTGGTAAAACACTGGAATATCAGGTAATTCCGATAGCTTGTATGATACACAGGCATACACTAGCTCAGTCCAAGGAAGCTGTAGAACATGAAGCTCCCAACCTTGGCAGGTGTCACTCTCATAACCAAGAATAGGACCCAAAATTTTCTGTGTATTAGAAAGAATGGCATTTAGGTGAGATACAAGCCTAATACCATCATCATGAGGACCAGAAACCTTAGTGACATAGGTGTAAAGAACCTCGGTGATGTTCTTCCAACTCATGATGCCTTCCATCCATAGTGTTGGTAACTTGATGTGACCGAGTATATCAGCCACATGTTTGGCATCAGTATTATTCCATGTTACAGGAGGAATTTGACCGAGGTGGTTCAGTTCTGGTGGTGGCCACTCCAGGTTCTTTAAATCTTCATTTTTCACTGTCTTAATCAGATAGTCAATCACACTGTTGTAAAGATCAATCAGTACAGAGGGAGGAATTGGAGACTTTCCATCCGCCTTTCTCTCATTATGCTTACGAAGTGCAGGTTCCACAAATTTTTCTGCAATGAAACCACATACAAAATTATTCATATGGGAAGAAACCAGTTTCCCCAGTGTTTCCTGCTGCTTCCAAAATCCCATCATAAGAAACTGAAGTTTAAGAGATGTTTCAGGTTTCAACAAATCTGCTTCAGTCAAATTCCAAGCATTTGCATCACAAGCCTCACAGTTATAATGTAACACATGCTGGGATGCTCTTACTTTCTTTGTTAGCAAGTCTTGAATCTTCCAGTATTGTGATTCTTTTTTATCTCTACAGGAGGTAACAAACAAGATGGCAGAAGTTCCCATAATGTCCTCAGCAGAAGTTGTAGCAACTAAAACTTCCTTCATCACCCAACCATACTCTACACCACTCTTCTTGGATACAAAACTGAAGCAGTTATTCAAAGGCACTCGGAGGTCAACATTTTTCTCACTTCCCAACTTAGCTCGTAGCCAATGCAATATTGTTGAGCCAGAAGACTCTGATGTGCAGACTATGAATTTAAAGTACTGACTTAACAAATTATGTGGTGGTAAGGACTTATCAACTTCCTTCATTACAAGATGCTTTAAGAGTAAAGGGTGCCAAGCATATTCTTTAATTAATTGGTTCCTGATAAGTACCTTCTCCATATTTCTTGAGATGCTAGATTCCAGTCGAGCTAGTTGAAGAGCCGATTTATCACTTGTCCTGCTTCTCTGATAACCCCATCCAAAGGCATCATTCTGTTGTGTGATAGATAAATGGGAACAATCTGCAGGAAACATCTCCTGAGATTGCTTTTGTCTCCGTGCCTTCAACACCCGTACACGCCATTTCCGGAAATACCCGCGTGTCTTTCGAAGAAGAATTTTTTGCTGTAATTCAAGCACTTTTGATTCTTGCTCAGCATTCATTTCTTCAATGACTTCTATGCTGATTTGCCTTAATTGTTCCATTATGATTTCATTTACAAATTGGGAGGGCAGTTCTTCCATTAGGTCTGTCAAAGTGGCATGTGTTTCAACTTCTTGTATAGATTCTTGGCAGATCTGCCTCATGTATCCATCAGTAAATTCATTGAGATAACTGGCATTAATTGAGCTGCCTACAGCATCATATAACTCCTTTAAAGCTTTGCATTTTCTCTCCTCCTCTTCCTTTTGTCTTCTTAGCATCTCCTGCTTTTCGCACTTAACTTCACAAAGTCCTTCACAGCTCAAAGTTCTAACTTCTTCTTGAATACTTTCTTCCAGAAGTTCAAGATTGACAGTGTGTGCAGCCTCTTTCACTGATAGCTCGTATTTGAATACTTCAATACACTCACTGCAAACTTGCTTTGTGACTTCCTCTATAATACTTGACTCAATCATGTTATACACATATTTCACTTGGGCCAACAATTCATAGTTTTGTAGCCTTTCAGACTGCTGAATCATTAAAACAGAATCCAACATCTCCGGAGGTTTGGGGGCATTTTCGCCCTTCTGGTCAGAAGCATCTTTTGCTTCAGGTTTCAGATAACCCTGGTCATCGAAGCTATTATGTGGGACATGTGTGTGTAGAGGGTTGTCAGGGATGGGCCCTCCCTGGATAACTTCTCCCACTGAACATGTCCGATTCACATCTATTAGCGTGATGGGTCTAACCAACTGTGGTATTTCTTCGGGATTTTGAATGAATGCATATTTGTCAAACACTACATTCTGATCCTCTACACTGATCCCATGGCACTTCAAGTAATTCACTGCATCAGTCTCATTCTCAAACCCAAGTATCTTAATCACAGTCTGTAAAGGAACTGTCTGTGGTGCCTTCGAGGGAACGTATGCCTTCATGAATATATCGAGAGCTTTGGATCGCACCTGTCTAAAGTACCTATGCAGGAGGCACCCCTGCAGGTATGTGGCACGTCTGATAAGCTTGAAAAACTTGACATAATTATTGAATGTTACAGAAAGAACAACCTTAAGTGCAAACTGGACATGGAGAGATTTTTGTACTTCCTCTCTAAACTGTGAATACCGTGTAACAATGGTCTCTCCGTCATTTAGATTTAAGAGCATTTCATAAGCTCTAAACTCAGCCTCACTTTCAAAATATTCTCCTCTTTCTCCAAGGTCATGATAGAGCTCCTTTAAAGTCTGCAAGCTCTTGATCAGGTGTTCTGTGTTCATCTTTGCATCAAAAAGATCTGAAGGTTCCTGACATAATTGTGCAGCAGCATGAATGTGAAAACGAGTGCATCTTTCCATAATGACAACCGCCACAGAATTTGTCAACTGCTGTTGCATTAAGTCATTGCGGACTGCTCGTGTTCTGTTCCATAGATAGTTATACCAAACATCCACCTCTGTATCTTCAGCATCACCTTGGTTAATTATGTTACACACTAAGAAGTTCATTGTTCTTAACAACACTGGCCCTGGTCTCAGCTCATGTGGCAGTGGCACATCTTTATCAGCACTGCTCCTGGAAAATTTCTTGGTAACAAGTCGATGATCAAGGACTCCATTTGTCATCTCATAGGAGCTAAGGTCATTTTGAACATCACGCATATATCGTTCAAGTTCCGGACACATGTCTGGGCAAGTGGCTGCCAAGTATGAGGCCATTTTTAAATCGGAGGTTCGTGTTCTTTCATTCCGCAATAATTTATCACGGGTCTTGAGTATTACGTGTTTCTCAAAATTATTTACTGCTTGGGAGTCAAGAATGGCCTTCATATCTTTACCCTCAATGGATAATGTTGGGTCTTTATTTTCCCTTGCTGGAGATATGGCTCGGCTTGGAATCTTATTGCTGGTAACACTTCTTCTGTTGACATTCAAATGTGTATCTTTTTGAAAGAGAGTCTTGGTAGAAGAATGCTTTAGTTGTTTGGCTTTTTCACTACAAGGACGCTCAAGAGGAATATATGGGTCAAGATCACTGGACTGCTGACCGTGTTGCAGAGTTTTAATGGCCTTTTTCTTGGACATCATAGCATCAGAATTTCCTTCTTCACTCTTACGACGCACTGGAGTACCATAAAAGATCTTTACTTCTGGCAGTTTTGGGTGAATTTTTTTTCCCTTTTTTTTGGCTTTAGAAGCTGCATGGTGATTACTATACTGAACTGTTGCCTGATTCACTTTTGGATTAAGCATAATCCTTTTCACGTCTCCAAATTTCCCAAAGTGATTCTTCAAAATTTCTTTGTCCATGCATCTATCTGGAATTTGGGCAATAATAATCTTTGTTAATTCTTTTTTGTGGTAGGTTGGTAAGCTACTACTAGAAGCATGTGCTTCATCTTTTTCAAAGAGCTCTGGTATTACCTTTGGTATTAAAGTGGGAACACTTTTAGACTCCGGTGCCCCTTGGTGAGGTTTTTCATCTGCCATTTGGCTACTTATTTTGTTTGTTTCAGTTTTACTAAGAAGGGCTTTTTTTTCCAAATTAGTAGGTGTTTTGCTGAATGGTTTTGCCACCAATGATGAACCACCAAACACAGAGGGAGTCTTGCTGGCAGGAGGCAAGGCTTGATGACCAGAGAAAGGCAAACTAGAACTGGAAGTGAGTGGAAACACTTTTGATTCCTTTGCTTGTTCATCTATAATATTACCAGAAATCAATGACTCTCCTGAAGTTGTAGTTTTATTCCCACTGAAGGGACGCTTAGATAGTGCAATACTACCTGACAGTGGAAATGTGGAACTTCCACCAAACACCTTGGGTACTTGTCGGGCCTCTACAACTCCAAATATACTAGAGGATGAAGCAGAGGAGGGCCAGCTATCTGTGTTGGTAACTGCTGGTGTGCTAGTGACTGTACCACCAAAGAGAGAGGGTGTTGGGGTGGCTGATGTTGTTATTGTCAAAGAGGCTGTATCATCTGACGACTGTATGGACACTTCAGATATAAAAGATTTTTTCAGTTCAGATTCTTTTACCTTCTCTGTAATTAATTCTTCTCCTCCAAATAATTTTGGAACTGTTGATGAACTTGCAATTGTACCACCAAAAATGTTTGTACCTTTATTAGATGAATCATTATTATCAACTCTACTGAAAGAATTGCATACTTCAGAACCAGTACTAAAAGGTACAGAAGTATCGGGTCCACCAAAAGGACTTGAAGAATTCCCCCAAGGACCCTGTACTGGGAATGATGTGCTAGGAAAAATATTTGATCTTGATGTACTAGTAGATGGCTTTGCTATTCCTTCAGACACTGAGCTTTGAGATTGGTCTGGGGTATCTTCATTCATGGTGGTAGAGGCAAACACCAAACCTGATGGTTCTGAAGGAGGTTGGAAGGACTTGGTTGGGAGACTTGATTCAGTATTATTGTTGTCCATCACTTCTGCCTTGATCTTGGTGCCTCCTGTAACAAAATGAACCAATACAAGAAATGCTTTATGTGGGTGGTAACATTAGCATACTGGAGAGAAAGAAATTTTAACTTTATTATGGACAATATTCATGTATTACAAATAATCTCAAATTTCGTATTGTATGTTAATTATACAGGTGGACTCCAACATTGGTGGACTACACTTCTGTGGTTTTGACTGTTCATGGTCATCTAAAATGAATATACTGTAGTAGTTACTGTGCCACTCTTAACATCTATGGTGGGAGTTTGGACAATTCACAGCCTAGAGTTCAAGCATGGCAAAGTTCTTCTAAATCAGATCTACAATAAACTGCTGTACTGTATATAAATATACAAAACCATAAATGCTCTATTACAGTACAGATATCCCCCATTATCCAAATGTTCGTTCTCCAAAAATCTCATTCTTACACCTCTTTTTCACTATCTGAAAGCAAACCTCACTTATCCAAAAGATGGTCCAATCGAAGATTCAAAACAGCTCACCCCCCTGTGGTGAGCCCTGATCACTCTTTTATAAAGTAATGTACAGTCTCACCCAAAAGTTTGTTAACTCTCCCGGCCAGCTATTGCTGCACTGCCTGCTTCAGATGTATGAACTTGAGTCTGTTACTTCGAACCTTTAGACTCATTCGTATCAGTTTCATGTTCTGGTTGGTACCGAGACAGTTTCAAACATCTGAAGTAGGCAGTGCAGCAATAGCTGGCTGGGGGAGTTAAAGAACTTTTGGGTGAGACTGTATCATTTGCACGGTATATTTTATTTAGTACAGTATAGCAATTATTGTACAATATTAATGAACAGTGAGTCGCAGTAATTCTCAAAATACAAATTCACATTCTTAAATTCACAGGTACTGTACCTCTATTACTACCATCTTTTTATCCTTTAAATTTGCAGTCAAATATTCATAATTTGTGGGTGAGCAGCAGCTGCCAGTGTTTATTTACATAAAGAACCATAAAGGTTGTGGAAATATAAATTTAATGCTCTTATCTGACTTAAAAATAAAGAAAATATAAAACTATAAAATAAGAAAAATTAAGTGGAAAGTGAATTCTGTGTGGAAGATATGGGAGGTAGGGTGGGTGGCTCGCTGGACTAACCGGAAAATCCCCACCCTCTCCCTCCGCTCTCAGAGCTCATCACCTTCAAACCTCTTTAAAATGACAGCATGCAAGTGCCAAATATCCTAAATATTCTGCACCCCGACAAGACAGTACACAATTATTAATGAAGAGCTGCTGTGTACATACATGCATGAAAACGAGAGATCATTAACTGCAAATAACCTGTCTGATTAGTCAACAATGGATGACAATGATACATGTATAGTAAACGAGAACTTTATTGGATAATGGTGCAAGTGTAGATAACTTGAGGCATAGGGATCAGGTATATTGGCTGCATGTTAAATATATTTTTATTTATGATGGTAGTGTTGTCTTGAACTCTTCTCGTTAATCCTATCTTACCAAATGTCTGGTCCAGATAAGATTTTTTGTTTTTGAAAAACATTTGCAATATTTGTTATTTGTGGTAATTTAGAGTATTTTTTAGTTCTGTTTTCATATACTGTATACGTATGTTCTTCTGCAATTCGTTGTAACAGAAATTAAATTTACTGTGTTTGGGGCAGCCATCTTTGACACGCCATTTTGGGTCCTCAACGGCCACAAATATATTGGGAACAGCAATTTTTTAGCTCAACATACAGAAATTGACTTGAAAATACAATTACCAGTAGCAACTTGTAAAAAAAAAAAGTACCTGAGGGTGATAAATTTCCTGAAATTGCCACCTGTCTAGTAAGCCCCTGGGCCAGGGCAACTGGATGCAACCAGTCGCTCAAAATGATATGAGAAGCTAAAAAATTTGTCTGAAGACAAAGAAATGGTACAAGTCGTGTTCCATGCAGTTCTTTCCTTCTACTGTAAAGATCACTCTTTTGATAAAGTCTTAAACCAGGCTTGCAGTAACACCAGTTCATCCATGTTAAGCTCTACAAAATCTGTGGGAGGCAGGTGAGATGTGAGTTGCTCCTCATTGGATATGCTTCAATATGTGCTTTCACGATTAAATCATCATTTATAATAAGATGCCAGTTCAGAGTGACCTATGAAACAGAAATCAGACAAGAAAATGAGGAAAGAGGCTTTATGTGGTGTGCACATGCAGTCCAATGGGAGTTTGTTTCCAACATAATGGGGGGAACAAGCACTCACCTTACAAACTCCCTGTTGCTTATATAGAATTTAGGTAATGTCCCAAGCTACAGGGATGCACTGCTCATACTCAAGAAGACACCTCATGATATGGAGGCCCCAGCAGAGTAGTCTTGTAGGACGAGTCCTAGGAAAGTGAACAGAAGTGTTAGGTGGTACATTGGAGTCTTGATACTATGCAGGTTAGGTACCAGAAGACACCAGGAATTATTAAATTGCAAATTATAGTTTAATTGATTTAAATGAAAATACTGTAATAAGTTTGGTTCTAGAGGCCAGGAAATACCCATAGACTGATCCAAAACTGCTTTAATGTATACACTACACATCATACATAATACATAAAAAAAATACAGTAACACATAGTGTACAAAAAGTAATTCTGTTACAGAAACAGCTCCTTTTCTTCTCATAATTTTGTATGGGTTATGCCAACACACAAACATGGAGACAGACAGACACACACACAATCGCCCATTTTTTTTAAACATTCAGTACAGCAAGTCAGAAGAGGAATCCTGAATATCAGGTTACTTTCAAGTAACCCGACAAATAATTTGTCACACTCAAATAACAGCTTTGATGAATCCATTTCTCGGGTCACTTTAAACTAACCTGATGTTCGGGATTCCTCTTCGGACTTACTGCCCCGGATGTTTAAAAAAAATGGACGAATGTCAACAAAGAACCAGGCATTTATTACCACACAATAACTTATTCTGGATCCTGCCCTAGAATCATAACATATGGTACGTAGAAAGCCTGAAAAAGTTAAAACTTTTCACACTGATGAAGAGAAGGTTCAGAGGAGATATGATTGAGTGCTTTAAGTATAGTAACATACAGTACAGTACTGCATATAACAAGAATCACATGAAAAAATATGTTTGATATTGCATATGATCTGACTAAATTACAAGAGGACATGAGAAAAAATTTATAATAAAAATCAAGACTGAACTTAAGGAAGTATAGAGTATCTTCTGTAACAGTGGCTCACAAATGTAAGAGCCTGCCTGCTACGTGGTCATCTATAAATCTGTCACACAATTCAGAAGTTAAGCAGCGGTCACACTAGTCGCTGGGACTAGCGATAGCACTAATTTTTCACCCAAACGTCCACTGGCTTTGGGATGTCTGTCTGGGCTAGTCCATCTTCACTGGTCAGTTATTGGATGGCAACTGAGACTAGCTACCTAGCCCACAGGTAGCATGACAGTGATACTTTTGCTACCTAGCCCACTATAGCATGGCAGTAACACTGCATTACGTTCTTCGAGAACAGAGACCAGTAAACATTCATTTTATGCCACAATGAGAACTTGATAATGGAAATAATTTTTTGTTTGTTTTTCAAGATGATTTGAATGAATATAACCTTTATTTCTGAGGAAAATGCATATGTAAGGAGATACGACCATGAATTGCACAAAATGGGCAGCGCTTTGAATATAAGGAAATGGGTTAACACACACACAAAAAAAGGAAATCCTGACCTAACCTTTCCTAACTTAGGAAAGTCCTAATCCTGTAAATACCTTGCCTTAATAAACCGATAGCAGAGGAAAAAGTGTTTATGTTTCTGGGTTTTATTACTGTTTGCGTCAATGATTCTCTTCTTGTTTTCATGTGTTTTTGGTGTTTAGGTTATGAGGGAGATATAAGAGACTGAATACATCACTGTATATAAAATTTTTGTGTATGCATAAATCTCCCAATAGATCTGAACTGTACTGCGATTTGTCAAAGCAGATCATGTGAAGTTCACATGAAAGAAATTTGAATATAATATCCTGCAAAACTGTGTTTAGTGAACTTAAAATCCGTCAATATTCTTTTACCGTCTTCTTGTCCTAATCACTTCCAAAAGATGTAAACACAATTGGTTGTGTACAAACCAGGTTCACCGATTCACTTTACGCTCGGCCATCACTTTAATGAGGTAAGGTAAGATTTTGGGTAAAATAGGTTATAATGCAGTGATATCTCCATTAGCAGGAACAATTGGTGTACTGTACTTGACAAAATATGAAAAGACAACCTAATTAAACCTAACATAACGACAGAAATGCAACAGCTGCCCACCACATGAACTTTAGCCTAATATCACAGCTTGTGGGCTCGGTAGCCATAATATTATGCCATGAGCCACTTTGTAAATTTTAAAACCACAATAGTAACAAAATGTTGAAGCCTGGAACAGTGTCATTATGGTAAACTTGCAGTTTCAGCCCCAACTACTGTTTGACCATATTTGTTTGTTTTTCCCATGGTATTTTGGCTGATTCACATGAATTTGACCTTTATTTCCATCGCAAATGAATGGTTACTAAGTTATCACCCCCCACTCCCCACACACACACACACACACACACACACACACAAAATTGCTCTAAACGAGTTGGGGCTGAAACTGCAATAATACCGTCATTGCCACGCAAACAAACATTAGGGACTGGTGATAGAGCCTCCACCAGAGGAATGTTTTGCTTACGTGAGTTTTAGGGGGAATAGCCCACCTGAGCACAGATCATTGACCCACAACGTGGCCGTGGGGGGGTAAATTTCCATTAGTTCACACAACTGTTAGAAAGTCAAAACTATGTTTTTCTAGTATATTTTTGTGTTTCGGTTGGTTCTGACCTAGATTTCCGTCGGAAATTGCCTGTTTTTTCAGTTATCGGGTGTTTTGGATGGGTAATTTTCCAACAAAAATAATGACCAAATGGATATAAAATACACAAAAAAAAACACGAGAAAAACATATAAACCGAACCTTTTATGGGGGGATGACCTGACCTGAACTAACCTGACCTAACTTAACCTAACCTAACAACCTAACTTAACTTAACCTGACCTGACCTGACCTAACCTAACTCTCACCTTATGATGGAATCACTTATTTCTTACCTTATTGGCCTGGTTCTGGTTTGTTGTAGGATTATTTGTTTTGGGAATAAGGAACGAGTTACTACAATGCCAACTATGTTGGTCTTGACGACATTTACAGTACACTCTTTCTTATACTTAGGATACTTTGCTGAGGTCTGGAGAACACCATGAACTCTAAAAAATGCTATAGCTTGTTCATTTTTTCCCCAAAACGCGCAATCAACACCATATAATTGAAGTGACACCCATCACAGACTTCCATGGTCGGAAATTAATTTGAATTTCGAAAAATGAGACCCAAAATCACAATCGAATCTGATTGGGCAAAAAATACTGCAAATTAAACCACAATTCATTTTAATTGGTGTAAAAAAAAACCTTTTGATTGGTCACATAACGTGTACGGGCACTCGTGCGCGTGTCAGGTAGGCGATAGTGGCGGAAGATTAATGGAAGAAAATAGAGAAATATGCGCTATCTCCGTTATTATAAGTTTGCGACAGTAATGTAATCGAAGAAAATTATCTTAAAATTATAAGTATTTTCGAATATGATAATATATTTGGGGCAGGAAAGTTGTGTGCTTTACTAATGCAAAAATACCAAAATAAGTAAAAATAAATTAAAATTAAAAATAGAAGAGAAAAAGACTACATTAATTTACACCACAAAGATACAGGAAAACCAGCTTTTAGAAGTGAGATAGATTATAAGAGTATGGAATCACAGAAGGCAGAACATAGTAACGGTGGGCAGCGTAACGTGCACTGTTTCTTTGTCATATCTATTATCCCTGTTGCATATGAGGGCATAAGCAACTAAATATCTTGAGGTATAATTACCGTCAGGTGGTGACAGTAGTCCACACAAGCTAATAAATAATTATAATGACAGTTTCCTCCAACAACCTTACTCAGTGTAAACAGTAAACACCATTGCATTCTACTACGCCATAAATTTCTCAAGTTAATAAATTCCTCGTGTCAACATAAAAATTAACAGTTTTCATTAATTTATTATTTATATATTTCTTTATTTTATAGCAAAAATGTATCAAGTTAATATACACTAAAAAATATTTGACTGCAAATTATTTATTTCGGGTAACAATGAACTCACTTTAGGGCACCCGTAGTCACCTCCATAAACTATAATATTATATCTTTACTTATATCCTCTTCACCACTGATCGGCTCGTTCGCCGCTTGGTCGATCAGTCACGTCTCTGTTACTTTTATTTTTCTAGTACAATATATTATTGTCTTTGGCAACCACAAGTAACTTGGACTTTTCACTAGTTAGGAATTCAGTTTAGAGCTTGGGTTAACTATTAAGATTTTATTATTTACAATAAGAAAAATATAGTATCGTTCATAATTATTCACGTATTGAAATAAAAATATTATATGATAAATCACTTTATAACTGAGTTCAGAATTTTGATTGATTAAGACTCTATAGTGACAGCAGGATGCCACCAGCCTGACGATGCCATATTTTTACTTTTTTTTTACTTTTATCCTCTTCGCCACTGATCGGCTTGTTAGCCGCTTGGGCGGTCGGTCACGTCTCTGTCACGCACTGTTGGCAAATACTGGGCATGTACCGGCTCCTGAATGTCACAACACTCTCTGGTAGATTGTTCCAAGAGTTTACAACCCTAAATCAACTGATTCCAAAATTCAATAATCGGTTCCGAGGTAGCTCGTCAGAACCGTTGAAATCGGTGTCCTTTTGCTGGTCATACGGACAGAACTAGATAATGTGATATAATTGTTGCCAGAATTAGGGCTAGGATGTAGACACATCTGGCAAGTTAGTAACGCTGTAGCCTGTACCCATACCGGAACACTCAGCATGTAAACTTTGTGATAAACCTTTAAAGTTTAAAGCATACACTTGAACACTATTGGATGCAACACTTCAATTTTATTTATAGTTGAGTTAATACTTATTCTGAATCTATCTGACCTTGGACTTAAAGAAGCCTATACACGCATTCTTGGACAGAACCATTATTTGAGTAGAGGTTTATCTGATTAATAATGCAAAGAATCATCTCTCTGTAATAACTAATAATATATTCTTTTCTGTGAAGTCTCTTGAAAATTTTTGACATGTGCGGTAGTAGCTATATCAGGGCTGGTCGACTTGAAACCACATGAATGACTCCAGTCATGTCTCACTTTTGTGTGTGTGTGTTGGGAATTTTTACACTATCAATAAATATACAGTTAATTAAAAAATTCTCAATGTTCTAATTTCCTCAATATAACTGCATATGGCTTAAAAATTCTCCAAAGAAGTGTTCAAATTTCAAAATTTTCCCGGGGGGCTTACAGCGCCCCCGGAACTCCCAGGTGTTTAGGCTCGCTTCACTCGCCACCCCACCCTCTTGGGTAGTTATAATGAGGGGGGCCTCCACAAAGAGGCTGCCCATGAGCCTCCACAGGTCTAAATCCGACACTGCTTATACACCTCAATTAGGTCGTCCCTTGCCCGTCTGTAGTCTAAGCTAGGCAAGTTCAGGCGCTCCAATCATTCAGGGTAGTTTAGGTGCCGAAGTGCAGTCTAGTGGCCCTCCTTTAAACATTTTCAACCAACTGACAGTCCCTAGTATATCTCGGGGAGCAGACGGGGTGACAGTACTCTAGATGGGGAAGCACTTCACTCTTGAAGATCGTTACGAAGGACGGACCGTCTAGATATCTGAACTACCTTCTTATAAGACCCAAAAATTTATTTGCCCAATTTACCTTCTTCTCGCAATGGCCCGAGAACTTCAGCTTATTGTCAACATACACACCTAGGTCCTTCTCACATTCAGTCTCAAATAGTGCAGTTTCTTCATCCAGTTGGGACATATGATACGCCTCCTTACCGTTGGTACGTCCCAGGTGCATCCTCTTACACTTCGTGACATTGAATCTCAGCAGCCATTTCTTCTACCGTTCTTGGAGCTCACAGAGATCCTTCTGCAGCTCTTCACAGTCCGCTTGGTTCTTGATTTCCTGAAATAACTTGGCGTCATCCGCAAACATTTGTATGGAAGAGTGTACAACGTCAGGCATGTCATTTATGAAACAAACACACAACAGTGTGCCCAACACACTGCCCTGTGGTACCCCACTTGTGACAGGTACAGATGTTGATTTTATGCCATTAATCACCACACACTGCTTGCGGTCATGGAGAAAGTCTTCTATCCACGCTTGGAAATTTCCCCGAATTTCGTACCCTTCCAGTTTGGTTTTCAGCCTTTCGTGGGGTACACTGTTGAAAGCCTTGGCAAAATCTAAGTATATACATTGTCGATATTACCACCCCGTTCCAGAATATGGGTCCACATATCCAATACCTTGAGCAATTGTGTTAAGCAGGAGCGCCCCGGCATAAAACCGTAGTAGATGTTCCATCGCAGCATCCCTGATAATACTCTCAAGTACTTTACATATTATGCTGGTCAGGCTCACCGGTCTATAGTTGTTCGTGGAGTGACAATCGCCCTTCTTAAAGATAGGACTCACATAAGCCATTTTCCAATCATTGGGGACCTTTTGTTCATCCAGGAATTTACAGAAAGGGATCTTCAGGGACTCGGCAAGCTCGTTGCACAACTCTCTTAGCATTCTGGGATGCACCATGTCAGGGCCGGGACTCTTATGGACCTTTAGCTTTGACAGTTTATTTCTTATACCCTCTTCTGCGAACACAATGTGGGTCAGTGCTGTGTCGAACCGTCTGTCCTCAAACGCAGGAAGGTGAATCGCATCCTCTTTTGTGAACACCAAGGAGAAGAAGCTCTTCAATGCGTCAGCTTTATCCTGGTCAGAATCTGCATAACTACCATCTTCAAGCCTCAGGTCTGATACTCCTACTCGCTTTTTTAATTTCGACTTTGCATAGCTGTAAAAAGCCTTTGGGTTTGACTTGACCCCGCTTGCAACCAGCCTCTGGAACTCCTTTTCAGCCATTCTACACTCTGCCTTTGCTTGGTTTCTGGTTCTTGCTTACATCCTCCTGTCCTGCTCATCGGTTGACCTAACCCACGTCTTGAATTTCTGGGTTTTCTTCTGTTCGGCATTCTTGGTAAATACCGGGCATGTATTGGCTCCAGAATATATCATTAACCTGTGCTAATGATGGCTATGTCTGGTCTTGCTGCTCTTGCATGAGCTCACACTCGGTGGTTTCTTCAGCCTTCCGATACATTCAGGAACCAGTCCGGACTGAGAGTTGTAAACTCTTGGAACAATCTACCAGAAAGTGTTGTTTACGGCACCGAGTGTGAGCTTTTTCAAGACCAGACTTGACCAACACTGGAGCAGGTTCAGGTACATTCAGGAGCCGGTGCATGCCCAGTACTTGCCAACAGTGTGTAGTGATCCCCTCGTATTCCTAGAGACACTGGGTTTGGTCTTGGGTATATTTATCGATCAAATGGGTCACTTTACTAGTTATGATATTCAGCGCAGTGTCTGCGTTCTTGTGCCGTAATCTCATCAAACGTTAGCTCTAGATATGAACAATCGACTGAGCAATGTCTTCTGAGGTGACTACAAACTTCTGTTAAATCACCCTTTGCCCGTCTATAGCATAAGCTCTCTTATTTAAGCAATGCAGATGTTCTAAACTTATGGTACCTGGGTGCAGGCACCAGTTTAGTGGCCCTCTTTGGAGACCAGAAAGGGTGACAGTACTCCAAGCGGAGAGCATGTATGTAACTTTTGAAGGACGTTATGAGAGACGGATATATATATATTTATTTATTTATTTATTTATTTATGTATTTATTTATTTATTTATTTACCACCTGACAATAGTCCCGTATCCTTTTCACATTTTGTCTCGGACCATTGTGAGAATAAGATAAATCATCATACAGTAGTAGATCTTATAAGAAGAACCTTGGTTTCCCGTTTGGAGTACTGTTACCTCGTCTGGTCCCCGAGATATGCTAGACTATCAGTTGATTGAAAACGTCCAAAGGTCGGATGGCCACTTGACTGGTGCCTGAACTACGGCATCTCAGGTACCCAGAGATTAGAACGCCTGCAACTGCCTGGCTTTTATAGGCGGGCAAGGGGTGACAATGAAAATTTATAAACATCTCAGAGGGCGCTACTCAATTGAATGTTCATACCTGCATGGAGGCTAAGAGAGTTGTGAAACGAGCATGTCGAGCCCCTGAAGATACTGTTTTGTAAATGCGTGGATGAACAAAAGGTCCCCAGTGAATGAAAAGTGGCTTATGTGAGGCTTATCTTCAAGAAGGGCGATCGTTAGTCCACGAACAACTATAGACCGGTGAGCCTGACCAGCATAACATGTAAAGTACTTGAGAGTTTTATCAGAGATGCAACGATGGAACATCTACTACGGTTTTATGCCGGGGCGCCCCTGCTTAACACAATTGCTCAAGGTATTGGATATTTGGACCCATGTTCTGGAACGGGGTGGTAATATCGACAATATTTACCTAGATTGTGCCAAGGCTTTCGACAGTGTACCTAACGAAAGGCTGAAAATTAAACTAGAAGGGTACGGAATTCGGGGAAATGTCCTAGCGTGGATAGAAGACTTTCTACATGACCGCAAGCAGTATGTGGTGATTAATGGCACAAAATCATCATCTGTACCTGTCACAAGCGGGGTACCACAGGGCAGTGTATTGGGCTCGCTGTTGTTTATTTGTTTCACAAATGACATGCCTGACGTTGTACACTCCTCCATACAAATGTTTGCCGATAACGCCAAGTTATTTCTGGAAATCAAGAACCAAGCGGACTGTGAAGAGCTGCAGAAGGACCTCTGTGAGCTCCAAGAATGGTCGAAGAAATGGCTGCTGAGATTCAATGTCACGAAGTGTAAGAGGATGCACCTGGGGCGTACCAACGGTAAGGAGGCGTATCATATGTCCCAACTGGATGAAGAAACTGCACTATTTGAGACTGAATGTGAGAAGGACCTAGGTGTGTATGTTGACAATGAACTGAAGTTCTCGGGCCATTGCGAGAAGAAGGTAAATCGGGCAAATAAATTATTGGGTCTTATAAGAAGGTAGTTCAGATATCTAGACGGTCCGTCCTTCGTAACGATCTTCAAGAGTGAAGTGCTTCCCCATCTAGAGTACTGTCATGTCCCCGAGATAGACTGTCAGTTGGTTAACAAAGGAGGCAAGGGTGAACTTCGATGAGTTGTGAACTCTTGGAACAATCTACCAGGAAGTGTTGTGACAGCACCGAGTGTGACTCTTTGAAGATCAGACTTGACCAACACTGGAGCAGGTTCAGGTACATTGAGACGGTGCATGCCCATTACTTGCCAACAGTGCGTAACAGAGACGTGACCGATCGCCGAAGCGGCTAACGAGCCGATCATTTGGTGAGGAGGACAAAAGAAAAAGAAAGTAACACGTGACCGATCGCCCGAGCGGCTAACGAGCCGATCAGTGGTGAAGAGGATAAAAGTAAAAGTTGAAAGGAGGATGGTATGGTCGACAGTATCGAAGGCTTTAGAGACGTCCAAGAATATACCGAGTGTGAACTGACTGTCATCAAAGGAATATAAGATGTCATTAGTAAAGGATAGCAGTGCACTCTCAGTCGATCTTCTAGCTCTAAATCCAAACTGGGAGTCTGTAATGATGTTATTGGCATTGCAGGAATTTAGTCTACTACATGCTAGCTTCTCCAGTATCTTACTCAAGGCTGGGAGGACTGATATGGAGCGGTAATTCTTGAAGAGACCTTTGCCCCCAGATTTTTTATATGGTGAACTTTAGCAATTTTCAGTTTATCCGAAAGACACCACTAGTGAAGGAGTTACAAATGTGTTGAACACAGTATACTTTTATCCTCTTCGCCACTGATCGGTTGTTAGCCGCTTGGGCGATCGGTCACGACTCTTTTCGCTATATTCTTCACCAGGTCGGCTCGCTAGCCGCCCGGGCGATCAGTCACGTCTCTGTCGCACTGTTGGCAAATACTGGGCATGCACCGGCTCCTGAATGTACCTGAACCCGCTCCAGTGTTGGTCAAGTCTTCTCTTGAAAGAGCTCACCTCGGTGCCGTCACCTTTTCTGGTAGATTGTTCCAGAGTTTACAACCCTCACTCCGAAAAAAGTTTGCCTCACGGTTTTTCCGGACTTGGCTTCTTCAATCTTGAGCTGGAGCCCTTCGAAGGCGAGCGTCCGCCAGCTCCAAGTAAGACACTCAACTGGGCCCTGAGATGCTTATAAACCTCAACTGGTCCCTTGCCCGTCTGTAGTATAAGCTAGGCAAGTTCAGGCGCTCCAATCTCGCAGGGTAGCTGAGATGCCGAAGTGCAGGCACCAGCAGTGGCCTCCTTTGAACATTTTCAACCAACTGATCCCTAGCATATCTCAGGGACCAGATGGGGTGACAGTACTCAGATGAAGCACTTCACTCCTGAAGATCGTCACGAGGACGGACCGTCTAGATATCTGAACGACCTTATAAACAATAATTTATTTTCTTCATCCTTTGATCATTATGAAGAACTAATTAACAGGCTAACACCTGACCTTCGCAGATGTTTCGTGCCATTATCTTCATTGCTGGGTCGTTAGAAGAATATCACCTTTCGTGGGTCTAAACGCCCCCGGCATAAAACCGTGTTGGCAATCTTTTACAAGGTTGTTTCGTAGTAGATGTTCCATCGCTGCATCTCTGATAATACTCTCAAGTACTTTACATATTATGCTGGTCAGGCTCACCGGTCTATAGTTGTTCGTGGAGTGCCTATCGCCCTTCTTGAAGATAGGACTCACATAAGCCACTTTCCATTCACTGGGGACCATTTGTTCATCCAGGCATTTACAAAACAGAATCTTCGGGGGCTCTGCAAGCTCGTTGCACAGCTCCCTTAGCACAGTTTACCTTTAGATTCATTTAATAGTATAAAACGCCACTGCCGATACTTGCACAACACCTGTTAGTCATTTGATATCAGAAGCAATTGATAGAAGTTAAAGAAGTATTCTATAAAAAATCAAATAATCTCATTCTTTGGCAAGAGCCTGTGCTGTCAAATTCTTTCTTTCAGGTTAGGGTTATTTTGGTAATATTGTACATTTAAAAAACTTACAAATATACCAAACGAAATATAATCGAATCAGGAGTTTCATAAAAAAATTATTAATTTCTAAACATAAAATAGATTTGGAAACACAAATATTAACTATATACAGGAAGTGAAATGAACCAACAGCCAAGTTGTTTCTTTGACAAATGTGTTCGATTCCTTGAGTGAAATAAAATGTCAATACCATTTTATGATCGAGTACTTTTAGTATTACGTCTATATATTTAGTACTTTAAGTGAGTCTATGATAATAATTTTTAAATCATATTTGTTAAATGTATTTCACTAATGTATCTGAAAGGACGGAGAAAGGCTGGAAATTTTGTTACCTTTTCGAACAAGTGATCCTAGTGAGTTAGTACACGTAAAGCTCAGTTATGGCTGTCCGGTCATCCTTATGTTGAGTGAGTTCCAATATCTCGGTAAAGGACTATATATCCTCTCTTCTTATCCTTGAGGTATAGTACCAGTAGAAGCTTTAAAAGTTGGAAATTGTTGTGTATAGATTAGGTGTGAGAGAAAATAAAGGTGGTGAATGTTGGGCTATCAGCTGCTGGTGCAGACGAAGCTCTACCTGTCAGCTGTTCTTGACCCTTGATGGGGAGAATTGTTGAAGATTTATTACTTGTATGAAATGGAAGAAAATAGTACTTAGGACTGTTTAATGGACTGTGATTCAAGACAATTGGTTACTTTTGTCGTAAGTGAATTGAACGTGAATTGAACGTCAATAATGGAATGAAGTAGTTTTGACTGCAGAATTTTACTTTATATTGAGGTGAGATGGATGGTTACTGTAAACTGATGTACAGTACAGGTATATATATATATATATATATATATATATATATATATATATATATATATATATATATATATATATATATATATATATATATATATATCACTTAATAATCAGCATTAATAGTTGTGTAAGATGTGGTGAGGTAGAATATCCATTACATGTACTGTATTTTACTTGTTTCCATAACAAAGAGATAATTAAATGGTTTAAAAATTTCATGAATACAGTCTGCAATGTCAATAGCAAATTATTTCTGCATTTCTTACTGTTTAATATTAACTGTAGTAATAAGGATAAGAATACAATGATCATGCTAATGTCAGATTATATTTACTGTATGTGGTTAAGTAGGAAGGGAAATTATAATGTTAAGGAAACTATAGCCTTTATTAAAAGCAGGGTATATTATAATAAATGGATGATCAAGTGTATTTTAAAAGAAAAGTCATCCAAATATTTCACGGACAAATATGTAATATTTATGTATACTGGTACTGTATGTGTAAATTGTAAAAAAAACAAAAAAATCAGCATTGGATAGAAGTATGGGTAGAATTTACAATGTCTCTATGGTGATATTCACAAAAATCATAGTGATGTTCACAATTATAATACGGTACTCTATATAATGCTTCTCACTTTTTAAAGCCAAACATTGGGGGACAACAAGAACTATGTATACCCTTTATTGTCATATGTTTGGCATCACTTAACTCAGTGTAAGTGGATATGAAGATAGGGCAAATATGGGTTATGGAGGAGAAGGCTAACAACAGAAAGTTTTTCTATTTCATTAATTTTCTCCAAAATGTTGTTTGGATGATAGTAATGAAAGTGATATGACAACTTTTTTTTGGTGAATTTATAGTCTTACACCGGTCTTTCTCGCTGTTATTAATATGTATTTTGTAATGTTTAGAGATTGCTAAGCAATTTTTTCTGTTATTTCCACCGGAAATTAAGGATAACTGAGATATTAATTTTTCAATATTATTACATTTGCTCGGTCTCAAATCTGACACCCCCTCACGCATCGCTCCTTACCTCCGTCTTCGCTTCTTAAGCATCTGCAGCGCATGTGCGTTAGGAGTATTATCATTGGGCAAGAGATGAACCTGATTCTTTTTCAGATTAAGGTAAGATGTGGGGGCATGAACAAAGGGGGGTCACTGATTAGGTTAGGTTAGGATAGGTCAGGTTAGGTTTGGTATTGTTGGTTGGTTGGTATATGTGATTTATTTTAAGAAAATAAACTTTTAATGTTATGATTGTTGGGGGGGAGGGTTATCTCAAAAACTAGTGATTTCCGGCATAAATGAATATAAAATTCGTTTGAAACTCATCAAATATCATAGGAAAAACCAGTTTTTAATGTCATAATAAAGACCAGTGCAATTCTACCGACTCCGCCAAAAGTAAACAAGACGTGGCGAAACTCGGTTATCCGTAATTTCCGGTGGAAATATCATAGAAAAAAAAATGTCTTAGAATTGTCTAAACATTACGAAATACATATTAATAACAGCAAAAGAATGACCAGTGTAAGACTATAAATTGAACACCTTTTCCTTTAATCATAAGTACAGTATTTTTTCAATATATCTTTGATTATAAATTACCTGAAGTTGGCAGGGCATGAAAGAAGAGGGAAATTATGGGGTAAAACATTGCAAAAAGCTGATATGGCAGTAATTTTGGAATTAGTTTCGGTCATCCGGGGAATTTTAAAATTTAGTTTAGGTTAGATATAGTTCCTGGGTTCTGTGGCTAGGTTAGGTTGATTGTTAGGTTAGGTTAGGTTAGGTTAAATCAGATCTAAATCATTTAAAAAAAAAAAGTCGGTAAAACGTAGGGATGACTGAAACCAAAATTTTGCCGGAATTCGTGTTGACGTGCTCTGTAGAAGAAATAAATTGTTTACTCTAAATTTTCCACCGATATTTTTCCCATTGTGTTGCATGTTTGCGTCCCTTCTTAAACTATAAATTTGTGATTCCGGTCTTTGTAAACATATACAACTAATGACGGAGCCTCACATTGGAGTTTTTATTCCCATAAATATTGGCTTGGTTGCCTTTTGGGTATTATTGTTTCGGTCATCCAGCGAATTTTAGGATTTTAAGTTACCACCGTCGGAGAGAGTTCCTCTGTGCTCGTTTGTTCGTTACTATGCTGCATTACACATGGTTAGTTTAGGTTAGGTTGAAATTATGTTTTTCCAATGGTTTTGGATGTGTTTTGAACAGTTCTGACCCTCATTTCTATTGCAAATTACTAGTACGTATTATTGAATTCCCCCACCCAAAGCACCTGGTTCCCACTAGATATTATCGTTGGATAAGGGGAGTTAGCTCAAAAAGTAGTGATTTGTGGTAGAAATGAAGGTCAGAATCCTTCAAAACACATAAAAAAACCATTGGAAAAACATAATTTCAACTTCCAAACAGGTGGATGACCAAAACGATAATTTTACCATCTTCTGTTTCAATTGTTTAGGCTTCACTTTCCTCGTTTCTTGTTTATGGCCTGTGCAAATCTTTTTCATGCATGTGGTTTTGAACCTATTCTTTTTATAAAGGGTGAAAGTCATGTATTGTACTGTACTGTACTAGTTGGATTCAAATCCCATAATATGGGTTTGGATACATTTCCAAATTCTTTTGAGTATCATCGGATTCTAAGTGAACTGTATGTTCATATACTGTAGCTACTTATCCTTCTTCCTCAAGGAGAAGCTAACCATCATATTTTTCAACTGTGTAGTTATGTTCAGTATTATATCGTTAGTTATCTGTGCTTGTGGAGGATGAAGACCGTTTGCAAGAGCTCCTTTGTCAATGTGGACTAGTTGGCAGAACATACAAGTGTTCAAAATGCGGCAGAGAACTGACAGTGAAGAAGAACTACAGTATTTGTTTCATTGCAACAACTGATCGTACTCTTACATCTACAAAGACATAAATTTATACAATACCGTTTTAAGAATAGTGCTTTCATTGGTACCTGATATCAAAGTAAGTTCTTTCTGCTTAATATTCCAGGGGGGTCTAGGGGGCAGAGCCTCACCAGTTATGTCATACATTGAATTCCAGTCTTCCAAAGTTTAAAGTAAATTGGTAACACAGGATCTGCTGGGGACAAAGCTGTGGTGGTACTGTAGTCTGTTAAGGTTCCATTAATTTTGACTAAATGTCAAGTGTACAGTCGGCAGCAGAAGTTTGTTCCAACTCACCTGCATGATATTAGGCAGGTGATCTGGTAACACTCTATGGGGAAGAGTTAACAGATACTGTCTTCTTTAAATGGCTAGTTAGTATTTAAGATTTCTGATGAGAGATTGCCTAAGAATACATCTCTTGTACTGTAGTATATAAATTAATTAGTATCATTGTGTAAAATGTGGGAAAATAATGTTATTGAAAAATATGACATTGATGCAGGATGATTAATAACTGGGGAACAAGACGTATTCGTCCTGCTGAAGCGAACGAATATTTTTAATATAAAGTAATGTCATAATGTACATATATCCCATTAACATTATTTTCCCACGTTTTATACACCTCACACCTGCAGGGAGGTGGCACCTGTGATCACCTACCCTAACTACCACTCACCCCTTATAATCTGGTGTCGGTGGCAGTAACACTTGTCATGTGAGGTCATAACTCATGTCAGTTCACATCTACAGCCTCCCAGCTTGGTGGTGCCTTTGATATGTTGACAACTTGACACCCATCACAGGTCACTAAATCTGGTACTGTACTCTGATAAGCTGCCTGTTGATGGACCTGCCAGGTTAAACATGTACAGTAGATATGGTGAGGTGGGGTCATGCAGCACCTGACAAATTTGCCTCATATGTTTTCCTCTCAAAATTTTAGCTTGTCCACCAGGCAAGTGCTGGGCATATGGACACGAAAAATCACTTGTCTAGCACCCACTCTGGACATGTTCAGGGCCAGGCTGCTGGGTACTGCTAGACTGCATATCTGCCTCATAGCTATGCATTACAGTCCTCCTCATTGTTTTTGTTATTGTTCTGGTACTGTACTGTATTATCATTATTACACTACTGTATTATAATCATTATTATTATTTATATATTTATTTGTTTTTATTTTATTTATTTTTTCATATGGTACAGTACAGTACTTATAACTTTCATTGAAAATATTAATTCTTCAGATGCATTTATTTTGTTTTTAAGTTAGGTAGACATTTTTATGCTCAGGGGAAGGGGTTAATATATGTGTCATGACACATGTCATTACAGTAAATGTATAATAATGGTTCCCCTCGTATAACGAGGGTTTAAGGTGTAGAAGCTGTCGCCAACACAACAACCACACCCTAAGTTAACGAGCTTCATGATCCAGTGTTAAGGAATAGTCCGAGAAGACCAGACAACTCGCCAAATGTACTGTCTAACTACAGTAGTACCTCGATTTACGCGGTCAATTGAACCCACAGGTTACCGCGGAAAGTGAAATCCGCGTAAATGGAACAACAGAACATATGGGATTAATTCCAATAGAGACTGGCCCGACCCCCAAACTCCACTTTTTCCGACACAATACCTATGTTGTAGTAAAAATAACATCTAAATTTTATGATGGTATGCTCACACAATTAATATTTAAGAGAAATACAGTCGCCAGGTTAATGTCCATTCAAATAATAGACTAAAATCCCCCCCACCCTCTTCCCAGCTCACTGGCCCCTACCTCTCTGAGAAATGATTGGGTGAAACACTAGATTTTAACGTTTAGAAATAAATAATACCTCAGACTAAAGTTAGGATAATATAATTGACATTTCTGGATTCCTTGCTGGTCAGGGAATATTTTGAATGTAAACTTCATATATTTTGCACAAAAGATAAAATACTTGCTTTGTGTAAACCAAATTATTACATTAGATCTAAAATTTGTATGTCTAATGCAAAATCCATGATGTTTATATTCAAAATGATCATCATAATGTAAGAATTCCAGCAATGTAAATTATATTCTGGTCCAGTAATTTGTATGAATTTTATGAGCTAAAACAAATATCTTCAGTTAATAAAAAAAAATATTCTTCCCAACACTATCTGTCAATCAAAGTACCCCAACTTGCCTCCCCCCCTCTTCCAACCGCGCCAGATGGTCGGTCGGTCCCAACCCTCCCCCCCACCCCCCACCTTCCCTCCCTACCAGAGAAATGTTGGGTGAAAAACTAATTTTAACTTTTAGTAACAAATAACACCTCAGACTTAAGTTAGGATAATATAATTGACATTGCTGGATTCCTTGTAAGACCAGGAACATTTTGAATATAAATGTCATATATTTTGCACAAAAGATAACATATTTACTCAGAGTAAACATTACATCTAAAATTTGTACAGTATGTCTAATGCAAAATCTATGATGTTTATATTCAAAATGATCATCAAATTGTAAGAATTCCAGCAATGTAAATTATATTCTGGCCGGGTAATTTGTATGAATTTTATGAGCTAAATAAAAAAAAAATTATACTTCACGCGTATATGGGTAGATGAACCGCGGAAAGTGAAAGTTCGGTTCTGGCGAGGCACCGAGAATATGAGAAATCGCGTAAAGCGGGGTAATACTGTATTACCCTGGAATATTATCCGCAAATTGATTAACATCCAGGTCCCCCAATTATACTGCTGGGTAGACAGAGGCAAATGGCGTAAAGAAACTTGCCCATAGTTTCACCCTGCCCGAGGATCGAACCCGGGTCTTCTCACTTGTGGAGCGAGCATGTTGACCATTACACCACAGGTCGCCATAGTAAATGTAGTATACAGTATTAAAGAGAAGCCTTTGTAGATTCAGAAAATGTTTCTAAGTGGAATTACCGGTACTTGCTTCTACATTTATTTAACTCATATGCAAGCTTTGTTTATCTTGAAACCATTTACAGTATACAGGTGCTCTTCTACTTAAGAACGTTCAACTTACAAACTTTCAGAGATACAAACATCATCACTAAGGGGGGTTACCTGCCAGAGCAATGTGGATGAGACTGGATTATTTTGAAGAAAATTCCAGGAGAAGAGTGAGCCAGGTTTTAAGGCTGTATTAAAGGGTATAGCTGTACTAAATATCCATAATCTTTTAATTTTTTACAATATTTTTGGTATCTACAAGAGTAAAGTTGGACTTACAAACAAGCCTCAGGAATGTAACTCATTCGTAAGTAAAGGAGCACTTGTAGTACTGTTACAGTTGCGGAAATGTGTTCCTACACCCCCCATGGTAACCTGTGTCTTCAAACGGCAACGTTACAGTAGAAATATCACTATTTATGAATGAATGGATATAGGTCGTGTAACGACGGACATGATTAATGGATAGATTTGTTATCGGTCATATAGGTTGGCTGTTTGGAGACACATTACCATAGTGGGTGTTGGAACACATTTCCGCAACTGTACCTGGATTATAAAATTGTACATTATCGGTACTGATTACTTTAGCTACAGTATAGTGCCTTGTTGCCCATCATACACTATTCAGTAAGCACTTTGAGTTATATTTCCTGGTATTTGTGTTTCAGGTGATTGGAGAAATGTTTCGTCATCGATTAAGGGGTGGCCACAAAGTAGGAGCTCCAAATAATGTGACACGATCTCTTCCTGACCAAACTAACCTTTCTCAGCAAACGGTGAGTTTATGTAATACAGTCCTGAAATCTGTTAGTAAGTCGCTTACATAATTAAAATCGTTTTTTTTTTATTATTGAAATTAAAATGAGAATACTTAGCATTTTATATAGTGAAATTGGGAATGCATCATTATAATCAGGTCTGCCATATTTGAGGTTACTGAATAAATGGATAGCTACATCATTGTGGTCCACATTCAGTGTATGAGAATACTGGCTATGATACATGAATGCATTGGTCTTTCATCTTTTCTGATTCCTTTGCTCTACTGCTAAACAAACCAGTGATATTATCAAAGTTGGGATGAAAGGCTTCCTGCTTTATTAAATATTACAAAAACATCTCAACTCCTATAGATGGTTCAGTCATACCAGTGCTATTGTTGTAGATATCCTGACAAAGTCTTTACATATACAGTCCATCAGTACAGACACTCGTTATATAAAACCGAGGCACACATGTGTTTTATGGAATTACAGTAATGGGTATGTACACATCTGTGTCGTCACATAATAGCAGAAGCATCAGCAGCAGAACCATGAACAACAAAAATGCATTGCAAAATAAAGAAAAACTTTAATTATTTGAGAGAACAAAAACATGTACCTCTTATAATTTGAATAAAACTGAATAGAGTACAGTACAGAGTATACCAAATTCACTGAGGTTGCCGGCAATCATTTGCTTTAGACTAACAGAATGTTTGCAGATAATGAGTTGTCAGAATCACTGGTGGAAGCCAGATCAGTTGCATTGTCCTGTGGCTCCTCATCACTGAGCTCATCATTAACATCTTCAATGCCACCCTGTGTCTGTTGCTTTGAATGATGGAACCATTTGTTGGGCCTTATTCTTTGCATAGTCTGGGCTCTTGCCATAAATACCTGATTGCCTCCAGAGCTGTACTGCCTTTTGGGAGGTTGAATGATACACATCAGATCATTGATAGCTGTGTTAGCAAGGGAGGACCTCCAATCAATCTTGGTAAGTTTCAGGGTGTTAAACTTATCTTGCACTCAGCAATGGAGGCTGGGAGACTTTACACTAACTACAGGTATGGGACCATTTGTTCAGTATCCTGGTATCTGGAATGCTTAAAAAATGGGCTACATTTGGGAATTAATTATTTAAAATGAATGCTAATTAATTTCTGGGCCGAGCAAGGAAATTTCCAACCATTCTCCATCTGTGAGCTTTACTGTATGTTGTGTTATGGTTATTTTTTTCCGATTCACTTTTGGGTTGATACAGTCATCCCTTAATTTTCGGAAATATGCTGTATGAAAGTTCACTATAATAGTGGATATGGTCAATTTAATACTAAAAATCAATAAACAGAAAGGAGAACTCACTGTAACGAAAATTTTGGTTAACTAAAAGTTTGAATACAGGTATATTTTAGAACTCTAAAATTATACTCAGTTAAAATTTTCCTCCTTCCTCCCTTCCAAAAAAAAGAAAAAAATATAATAAACCATAAAAATGATACATTGCTCATCATAAAGTACAATACTGTACTGTAGCACAGACAGTAATTTATGTAAAAAAAAATGTGGAGAGTGAGCCACACTGTTCAGCCAGCCAGTTGGCTCAGATGTGTGTGGCTGCCACTGTGTGTATGCCATGATGTCATATCAGGCTCCAGGGGAGGCATCTGCAGCCCACTGCCTCCACACATATGTTCACTTCCCTCACTTAGACACCCATGTTCTTTATTGTTTGTATTTTATAGTTTTTAGTATATTTTCATTATTTCTGGGTAACATTAAAATACAGTGTACATACTACTGTACTGAAGTGATTTTTCCCAAAACTTTGTAAATTCATTGCATGAAAAAATTGCAAAATGTACCCTATATCCATCACACAGGTGACTGGTGTCAGTATTTATAGTACAGTATTACTGTACAGGTATTACTTTCTTTCTCTGGTTTCATTGTTGCATTTTATGTTTGTTTATGGTCTTAATAGTTTTTATAATGTTTGTTATTGTGTTATTATGTGTGGTTGTTACATGGCAGAGTCAAGATTTTACTGTGTAGGAATCTATTTCCACTTACTGTATATAATGGGAGTACTGTACAGTAGTATATGGAAAAATTGGGTTCAATACCTTGTATATGGAATTTCGATAAACAGTATGGCAAGATTTTATGGAACCTATTTCTTCTGAAATTTGGGGATGTCTGTACAGTATAGTACATGTATTTTTTTTTTATTCAGTTATGTGCACACACAATCCTACATACAGAAAGTGCCTTAAAAATTGAATGAATAATTATCATAAGGTATAAAATTCTAAGTAAGTGCAATATACCTATGGGCAGGTTCCACAATGAAGCTGTGTAGCCAGTGTGTGTAGGTCTGAGGGTATGTGGCACAGAGCACCGTGCACATTAAGTTATATTATTTGGCTAACAAGACATTTTTAATACTTCCTACATTTCTTATATTGCAAGCCTTTGCAGCTATCCTTACTCACCAATAACTCAAAACAACAACATTGTTTTTCTCCAAGATTTTGAATACCAATGGTTGCCACAGCATCGTGCGAGGGATCTGTACTATGAGATTCAATATCAGGGCCTCATTTATGCTGCACCATGAGTGTACAGTAGTGTTACTGTTGCCTGTCACCTTTCTGACTATTGGTTCATTTTTTTTATTTTTTTTTAATTTTTTTTTTGCGATGGCACAATAAATGCAGAGGAGCTGAATTATCTCAATTTTATTTTATGTAACCTCACATACCTCACATTAAAAGTAAGTCAATATAACCTACGTTTTGGCACATTTTCACTTGTTAATTTTTTGGTTAACATTTAAATTTAGTTCATTTTAGGTGCTTAACCCTTTACTGTGGGGGACATTGCTTTTAATATTTTATTTGGTAATTGCCAGATGATTTTATTCGGTTCAGAGGGGAATTCGTACACAAGTGGCTAAGCCTTGTTTTATGTGTGCAAATTGGAGTATTCGTGTCCTAAGGACACAGTTATCAAAATTTTGTTTTGTATAATTTAGTGCCACATATTTCAAAACTTGAAGATGAATTAATTTTTCTTTTCAGGGTAATTTGGCCGGACCACAGTCACAGTATGGTGCCTCTATGCAGCCACCCCCTCAGTCTGGGCCAACTATGGATGCAAGGCAGGTTGGGCAACAACAGCAACAGCAGACAGGAAACAACAATTGGGCTTGGGGAGGTGGTAGTTCAGATGGTGCATGGAACTGGGGAGATAGTGCAGCTTGGTCCTTGAAAAACACAAATCAAACCACTAATCAGCACCAACAGCTGATTCAGCAGCAGCAGCAGCCTGTGCTGAGTCAGCAACTCCACCAACAGCCACCTCAGCAGTATAATCAGCATCATGCTTATTCTCATTTGCAACATACTTCACAACAGCAGTTCCCTGAAGCAGTTCAAGATGTCACATATAGTAATCCGCATGCAACTAGTACTACTAGTACAACATTTCATCAGGGCCATGTTCCTACTAATATTCCACTGCAGCCTCAGTTCCAGCAGTATGTAAATGGTGACAGTCAAAATGGCCAGGGGACTGATGAGTGGGGTGCAGATAATTGGGGTGATGACTGGGGCAATACAGAATCCTACAATAATAATAATAATAATATACCAGCTAATTATGTAAAAGAAGAAAATCGGCAAAAACAACACCAGGACTACCACAGTTACCCTCACCAAGAAGAAGAAGAAAAGGAACAGCAACAGGTGCATCATGGTTATCAACAACAACAAGAACACCAACACCAAGAGTACCATCATCAACAACAATATTTTCAACCTCATCAACAAGAGCATGAGCATCAGCAACAATCACCACCAGATGCTTGCCAACAGCAAATAGAAATTCGGTATGAGCACCATCCGCAGCAGGAGCTCCAACAACAACATAATACTCAGCATCACCAACACATGCATCCTCAGGAATACAACCAATCACTGCAGCAGTCTTCTGAGAAAACCCAGCAGTCTACTGAGGATGATTGGGGTTGGGGTAATGATGATTGGCAAGTAAATGGACAGACATCTGAACGGCATCAGGAAAACATTCATCAGTTAACCTCTCAGAAACCTGCTGACTCTCAACAGAACCTTCAGCTTACACACAGTAGTGATGAACTGGCTCTTCCTGGAGAAGCAGAATCAGGTAACCATTCGCAGAAAAGTGTATTGCCTCAGCGGACGGTGAGTAGAGATTCGCCTGGTGATGGATGGCCGGACTGGGAAGCAGAGCAACTTCAGGTACCAGAAGTGGTTTCAAAATTAGTGCAACAAAACCAAGTATCAGAAGAAAAGACAACAGATGATTCAGCTGAAAAAAATTCAACTTCATTACAAATTGATGAGAAACAAGGGGCACAGTCCCAGCAGCTGCAGCAATGGGATGATGGCTTAGGACACAATGAATTCAGTAAATGTGTGGAAGATGTGTGTGCTCCAGTGTCAGATGGTTATACAGCATTACAAGATAGTGGTACACTTCCTGCCAGTGTATCAAGGAGTAATTCTCTATCACCAAATAATACTGGATTGCACAATATTAATAACGACTCCTGGGGACAGAAATCTAATGGGACAAGTATTGTACAGGATATTACAGGTGATTATGTTGGAAATGAGGAACACCAATTGCATTTTTCTGAAAAACAGAATGTCCTCATGCAACAAACTCAGGTGCCAAGTAATAATACCACTGTTAGCAATGCCCCATTTTCTCCCTCAGAAAGTTGTAAAAGTCAATCAGATGTGATGGAAACTGCTGTATTAGATGAACCTCCAACACCTGTCATGCTAAATAACTTGGATGATAGATGGGGTGATGGATGGGGGGAGAGAGAGACACCTCAAAACCCAGAAGCAGTTGATAAAGTTGATGAGCAAAATGTACAGAAATCTGAAGATTATCCTGATTCTGAGCAAGTGCAGTTACATAAAGGAACTCTGCAGTTTGCTGAATTTCAGTTGTCAGACAATAAGATTGACACATCTGTTACTCCTGTACTTTGCAATTCTGAGCTGTATCCTCAGGATATTAACAAACACCAACCACGTGAATTTCAAGCTGGTGAAAATAAACCCAGTGAACAGCAAGAATTTATTGATGATGAATATAGTAGTAGAGATATGACTAAATCAGAAGGATGGGATGGTGAATGGGATCAAGAATTTGTAATTACTAAATCAATGGAAAGTACACAACAAGCAACTGTGACAGAATCTTGTATTCACGAAATCCCAAAATACAATGTAGAAATTGCATCAAAAACTCTTGATACTTTAACTCTCTTAGACAATCCAGAGGATGTAAAGGAATCCCATGGATATCCTGAGGAGTCTTTTGCACTTAAATATCCTGCACAGATGTCTCAACATCACCACTTATCCCATCAAGCACAAGAGTCCCAACTTTGTTCCACGTCGGAAGAAATTTCCATACTTGATTCAAAATCTCAGTTTCAACCAAGAGCTGAGGCATCATCTCAGAATTATCAACTGGGTCATGAATCATTTGGTGATTTGCAAACAGCTCAAGAATCTTGTAACCAGATTGAGTCAGCAGCCCAGCAAGGAACACAGTTTCATTATAACTCTCATCAAAGATCAGAAGAGCTTGTACATCAGTATGAGCCACAAAATTGCCAATTAAAGCAAATTTATGAACCTCAAACAACCTATACTTCAGAACCTGAATCAAGACCTTTACTCCTAAGTGAACCTAAACAGTCATATCAAGATAGCCAGTTTCAACCATCAACCACAGATCAACCTCTCAACCAGTGTGAAGCCCATTTGCCTACTGAGAGCAGCCGTAGTTATCAACAGTATCAAGAGGTGAACCGAGAGATTATGCCAGCACCTCCAGTGCCTGATCCTATTTTCTCAAGAATTCCTGATGGAGCATCATCCATTCCTGAAGCACCCACTGGTATTGCAGGTGAGCTTTTGTTGATCTTCATGCCTGTCCAGTTGTTGATTTTAACTTATGACCTTCAGGTGATCAATAAGATCCATACTACCTTAGAACCCCCTGTTTTAGATCTTTATACAATTAACAGTAGGTGAACATTGTCCTGTAGTCCCTTACATAGTTGACTCCTTCATTCAAACCTCTGGTTACCGGTACCTTGAAGAATGATGCTGCAGGTCTTGGATTGACGCTACAAACAAAGATGGGCACGTGCAACTTTTTTTTGCGCTGCAACCGCAACTCGCAACTTCAAAATAATAAATAAACAAATACTAAAATAAAAAAAAGCCTATTTACAAGTAAAACAAAATATAATTAATAAAAAAGTTAATATTATCAATATTTTATTCCAAAATTACAAAAAATGCCTCACTGCCACTGGCTTCAGTCTTAAGTGGACTGGCTGTCTACAGTTTCAGTCACTTCAACTTCCGTGTCCATGTCCTGGTCGGCAGGATCACTGCTGCCGGCCACAGACTCCTTCTCCTTCCTCCTCGTCACAAAACGATCCATAATATTAGTAATAACAAGGAACTGACGCCTTAACTGCAGTGCTACTGACTGCCTGACTGGTTATGATATGAATCATTCCTCCCTCCCCTTCTCTTGCTGTAGTTGCCAGATTTCATCTTTCACATTAACTCTAGTTTCTAGAGTTAATGTGAAAGATAAAGTCTGGCAACTACAACGAGGGAAGGGGAGTGAAAGCTCGGAGGGTGGGGGTCTCATCTGGTTTACAGTTCAGAAATATGCTGCCCGACCTGTATCATGTGTATGCTGAATCATTGTCAGAAACAGAAATTTTCATAATGCGCGGCTCTAGGGATGCCCGTTTGTTTATGCGGTCGTATTCCAATTTTCAATTACTGTATTGCCGAAAAATTTTGCACATTGCGCTTGCGCTTGAAAATGCTTGAGAAGTTGTGCCGCAACCAGTTCCGCAACTCTCTGGAAAAATGTGCGGCGCACCTACTCGCACAACCAAAAAAGTTGCGGCTCAACTGCCCACCTTTGACTACAAATAGGCATGTTTCAAACCACTGCTGGCTAGCAATAAAAAATGGATTTATACAGCTATTGCTTGCATAACATGTGTTTGCACACCAAGATTTTGTTTTTACACGATTCGGCATTTATTGAATACAGGCATCCCCCGCTTTACGGAAGGGTTGCGTCCCTGGAAAATTTACCGTATCGCGTAATTCTGTGACGCGAAACCTGTTTTCCCATTGACTTCCATTATAAAACTGGAGATGCGTTCCTAAGGAATTTTTTTCTGGCCCCAAAAAAGTAATTCAAGCAGTTTTATGAATGAAAATAAACATTTATAAACGCATACAATACAGTGGTCCCTTGGTTAACGAGCACAATTCGTTCTAGAAGATTGCTCGTAAACCGAAAAATTCGTTAACTGAAACCATTGTTTCAATGGGTTTTTGGGTAGTTGGTTCCAGCTCACCGAAAATTGCCTAAAGTCAACAAAAAAGGTAGTAAAGTACACTTACTTTGAGGTGTGTATGTAGAAGGCTCCTGGATGATGATGATGGGAATTAGAATGGGGGTGGAGGAGAAGGGAGAAGAGAAGGCATTGGGGTGGAAGAGAAGTCACCCCATGGCACCATTTCACCCATAAAATTTTAGTTCACTTGGTGTAATTCAAGATTATTTTCTTTAAATCAACACTGCACTGCATTATATATTGTCAATATGTAAAATAAATTTCAAAATGACCAATGATTTGACTGGAAACACAGAAAAAAAGCATTTATGTTGAAGAGAGTCTGAAGCAAGATGTTACCTCCACTGAAAAGACACAGAGACTGACGTCTGTATGGTGTGTTGACAGGCTGTTTGGCGCGCTAAAAACTAGTTTCCTTGTACCTGTACCTAAATTATGTTAAATAATTGTTAAAATGACTAAAAATTTTAATATACTAAGACTTTTAAAATTATTGAATAGTACAAACTTCTTGATATTGACTAAAATAGTAAGGAATTTAAGCCCTAGAACCAATTACTGTATTGGCGGACTAATATGACAGCTAGTGTGTAAGCGAAAACATGTTGAGGGGCGCTTGTAAGGAATTCGTTAATCGAGGGAATGCTCGTTAACCGAAGTTAAGAATCTTATGGAAGGTAATTCGTTAACTGAGGCACTCGTTAACCGAGAGATCACTGTACAGCACATTAAATCATTTATGATATACTCGTACATGTAATATGAAGAGAAATACAGTTGGAATAAATAAAAATATTGTACTGTACTCACCTTTGCTGCTTCTTTTTGCACTACTGCGGTCACTTCCACTTGATGGCCTCTTTCCAGTCATCTTGAATAAGGGTAATGTACTGTACTGTACTTACTGTATGTTTGTAAAGGTTAAATCCAACTGCTGAGGCAAGAAACATGCGCGCACACTGGATGTAAACAATGGAGTGACTCCGCATGGTGGCGGTAGCAAACACCAAGAAATCCACACCAAACAAATTATAATTTTTATCCCAAAATTTTAATTTTATATTGTGATTTTTTTTTTAAATTGTTAAAATTTACCCCAATTTCCATAAGGGCGGATTTACGGGCCGTATCGTGAAATTATTGGTCATAATTTACAAATTCCGTAAGAGTGAAATTCCGCATCTTGGGGTTCCGTAACGCAGGGGATGCCTGTACAGTACTGCATATGTACTGTACTTTTCACAAAATATGCCATTTCCAGTTTAAGAAGATTAATGGATGAACCTGTTCTGGACATATCTTGCACAAAGTGTCTTTGTAATCCCAGACTCCCCATTACAGTACCAGTACATAAACAGTTCTGCCCAGATCACCATTCACCTCATGTGCACATTGCATTGACTCACTAAACTTTCCTCTTCTTTCAAGATTTACCAGTAGTGTACCCCCTTACAAGTATACAGGGTATGTGAAAAGCTAATAGGCAGGGTATCCTTAAGCTGTGGAGTATTGTGGGTGGCTAGGAGCATTATCCAGCACTAACAAAATTTTAAGTTTTAGGTTTTTCTCCTCACAGTACAACTGCACAAGACAAAAATTTGAATTGATGCAACACCCTCATCACCTAGACCTTCTTCTCTGCTTGCCACATGAGAGGCAAAAGCTCTTTTGGCTATACTATAAATCATCTAGAGTTTTGTGTGATTTTATTAATCAATTATTGTACAATAATATTTATTAACCTGGTACCAAATAACCTAAATAATATGGGGATTATGGTGAAATTGCATATTATTTTATAAAGAGGTCACAGGGTGATGTGCTCTGAGAGCGGAGGGAGGGAGAGGGTGGGGATTTTCCAGTCAGTCCAGCGAGCCACCCACCCTACCTCCCACACACAATTCACTTTCCACATAGGGTAATTTTTCTTATTTTATTGTTTTATATTTTCTTTATTTCTAAGTCAGATTAGAGTATTGAACAAATATATCCACAACTTTTATGGTCCCTTATGTAAATAATCACTGGCAGGTTCTGCTTACCTACCAATTATGAATATTTGACTGAAAAAAAAAAAAGATAGTAATAGAGGTACCCTTGACTTTAAGAACGTGAATTTGTATTTTGGGAATTATCATGACTCCACTGTACATAAGTACTCATTGCTAGTCCATTCTATGAAAAAAATTTTCTTTTCAGGTGTAGCAGAGGATGGAAGCAATCAGGTATTAGAGGATGTTCATCAGCCTTTAGTAAAGAATACTAGCCAGGAGGTATCTGAACGACCATCCTCCTCTCATTCTGTTAGCTCTCCCTCTCATCCTGTCCGTCCTTCATCTTCACACACTTTACCAGATCGTCCGGCCTCCAACCAGTCTGCTCACTCAGTGCATTCCACTCATTCTGCTTGGTCATCTCAGTCAGCACACTCGACACACTCAGTTTTAAGTCAAAACCAAGAAGTTCCTTTAGATGAAAACTCTAAAGTGCATGTACATCAATCACCTATTAACCTAGCCACTCAAGGGAAAGAGAGTGCTATTGAAGTGCCTACAAATACAGCCTCATCTGTGGATGGTGATACAGACCCAACAGTCCTTCCTGCTAATAATCCTGAAGGTCCACCACCAGTGTCTGGACCTCTTGGTGTAGTGCCAAGTTTAAGAGCCAGGAAGGGTAGTCCTTTCCAACCACCCACAACTAAGCTTTCTTCACCTGGCTCTTTCTCGGTGCAGACATATCAACCAGAGGTTTTTTCTCCACCCCAGACTGCTACTAGTAATATATCCTCTGTGCCTCTTCCAGTCTGTCCTGATGTGGGTGCTAATCTTGAAACCCCTCCCGATAATAATGAGCAACCTTCTGCTCCACAAAAATCTGGAGTACCTCTGTGGTCCAGCTCAGAAAATGTTTCAGTGGGTGTTAAGCTAGTTGTTGCTGCCCCTATGATAGACACTCTAGCTCCAGTCCAACCTCCTCTCTCATCTAACGCCATTCCTTTAGTAGTTCCCACCATGATTAAGGAGGAAAAGACTGAAACGGACTCGTGTATAAACAATCAGCAAGCTACTATTGTTAATCCAGAACCTCCTGCTGCTCACAGTGCTAATTCACAAGCTTTAGTAGTAAAGCCAAAAATTCAGTCCCTTTCTAGCATGCCTGTTAATCCTACTTCTCCAGCTGTTTTAGACCTGTCGAGGTCATCCAGATCCAAAGTTGAATCCAGAGGTGATGGATCACAAGATATAACTAACACACCAAACTTCAGTCGTATGGTTCCAGGGGAATCCAGCAAAGGTGAATCCACTTCTGTATCTACTTACCAAGCTCCCTCTGTTGTTCCATCAATGCCATCAGAAAGGGTAGTAACAGGGAATGATAATCCACAACCAGTGCTTCCAGTACGAATTAAACAGGAACCATCAGAAATCAGGTCCCCACCTGATGGCCCATATACCAGTGACTTATCCAGTCAGGGGGCTTCTGTAGTGCCACCTGTTCGAAGTGAGACTATTGGTTCAGAGGAACCCACTTCACGTAACTTTGCATCGGCAAATTCAGGGAGCCGTTCTGACTTGGCCAGTGATCACAGAGTTGAAAGAAGTGGACGCTGGGAAAGAGACCACTCACGTGATGGGGAGAGTAGGAGCAGCGATCGGTATCATGACAGGAGCCGTGAGCACAGCCGAGACTATTATAGAGATAGAGATGATTCTCCACACAGCAGGCATTCTTATGATCGTGATTATGATAGGAAGTATGTTGACGACAGGAGACGCTGGAGAAGAGAGAGTGATGATGAAGAAGATGGTGATAGACGATACTATGAATCTCGAGATAGGCGCGAACGAGCATATAGGGATGAATTAGATCGTTATAGTGACCGACCCATAAAAGAAGATAAAGATAGATTGCATTCAAGAGACAAACGTCGAAACTACGGTGACAGATCAAAAGAGTATTATCGGAGCTATGATGAAGACCCTTACTATGGCAGAGGAGACAGGTTGGTGTTTTCTATTTATTATTTAGTTATGGGATCCCTTTTTGCTTAAAATGTTGATATACTTTACCAAATTACAGTTGAGTTTTTATCTTGTAATGTTTGAGACCAAACATTTATGGTAGAGTGTTGCCCCATCCCTTACAAGTAATTCTTTACACTTGTTTGTAAATGAATATTGATGAAAAATTAATGGTAGTATAATTCTGTAATATTGTATTGACCAGTTAGATTTCAAGTTAAACTTACTATAACTGTTGTGATAAATGTATTAGATGGGAATATTGGTTTGGCCTCAGCATGATAAATTTTTCAGATGAACTGCAGAGTATTTTTCCCATATACAGTACACAGTGGCGTTTCTAGCCTTCGGAAAGTGGGGGGGGGGGCACTTTGGGGCCAAGGTAAATGTTTCGGGGGCAAAACCAAACCTGTGTACAACTTGCAAGATGCATTTTTCAGCATTATTACACCAATTTGATTGACAAATGTGAAGTGACGTCTCTCATGACGCCAGCCTAAAATAATCAGCATATGGTGGTATAATGGCAACGCTCTTATTTCACTAATCATGATTCATTGGAGTATTGACACACTTGAACATATCTCTAAAACTGTATTATTGCTCACATAGTCACATAAAGGGTGGGTGTACCACATAACAAACATTGAAAAATATAGCAGTGTCTTTACAATGTATGTACCTGTACATACATCAGCGAAAAAATGAATGATCTCACGCTTCACACATAATGGAGATTATGGAGACAACGTTTACGTTTTCAGACATGGGCGCCGCATGCAACTGTTACATTATACCCAATGGCAAATGGCAATGGTGCGGTTTCAGTTCACAATGTACTGAGACGGTAGCAGTATATTCAGTGCAGCTTAATCCTACGATTATTATGTCGGCTGCCAAACTCGTCGACAAAACAATCTAAATCAATTCCCTCAGCGCATGCACTTTCAATCGATAGTAGCGTGATGTTCCTAAGTCTGTCACTGGACATGGAATTTCTTAGGAATGTTTTCACTAATTTAATTTTCGAAAGGCTTCTCTTGCATGAAGCACTGGTAACAGGGAGAGTTACAGCTATCAACAATAATTTATACAAACAGTCAAATGCAGCCTTATAAGGGCATATAAATGACATAAATTGCACGAGCGATGAAGGTTGTTTATGTTCCTTCACGAGCAATTTCTTCACCAGAGGTATCTCATGTTGTAAATCACTTTGATTGACTGAGTATGTAACTGCAAATGCCTTCAAATCTTCTTCAGACAAGAATGTCTGTCCTTCTGGACAAAGAGTTGAAATCCCACAGAAAATTGCACAGGAATCATTGGAGAAACGCCTGTCTAATTCACTAATCAAACAGTGTAGTTGAGCTGAGCTGTACAGTATAAGGTAAATCAGTACAGTCCATCAGTTATATTATTACAAAATGTAGGGTTTTTGGGTAATTGGTTCCAGCTCATCGAAAATTGCCTAAAATCAACAAAAAAGGTAGTAAAGTACACTTACTTTGAGGTGTGTATGTAGAAGGTTCCTGGATGATGATGATGATGGGAATTAGAATGGGGGTGGAGGAGAAGGGATAAGAGAAGGCATTGGGGTGGAAGAGAAGTCACCCCATGGCACCATTTCACCCATAAAATTTTAGTTCTCTTGGTGTAATTCAAGATTATTTTCTTTAAATCAACACTGCACTGCATTATATATTGTCAATATGTAAAATAAATTTCAAATTGACCAATGATTTGCTTGGAAACACAGAAAAAAAGCATTTAGTTGAAGAGTCTCAAGCAAGATGTTACCTCCACTGAAAAGACACAGAGACTGACGCCTGTATGGTGTGTTGACAGGCTGTTTGGCGTGCAAAAAACTAGCCTCCTATACTTCAATTATGTTCAATAATTGTTAAAATGACTAAAAAATTTAATATTTAACTTTTAAAATTATTGAATACGTAGTAAAAACTTCTTGATATTGACTAAATTAGTAAGGAATTTAAGCCCTAGAACCGATTACTGTATTGGCGGACTAATACTACAGCTAGTGGACCGCCAAATGCAAGCGAAAACATGTGGAGGGGCACTCGTTAAAAACTCGTTAATTGAGGGATTGCTCGTTAACCGAAGTTAAGAATCTTATGGAAGGTAATTCGTTAACCGAAATCTCGTTAACCGAGGCGCTCATTAACCGAGGGATCACTGCATTATGAAGCGTAGAATACTGAGACCCCACTATTTTCAATATTGTACTGTACAGGTATACTTGCTATATGTCATTTTGCTTATACAATACTGTACATTTTTGATGAATTAGAGAAAAAAAATTGCCACATGCAATAGTGGTTGACTATGTTGGTGCCGAGGAGCTGTGATGATGAAGCTTATGACCCCAGATTTGGGATCTCCTGATCTAGAGGATAACTCGTGTTCTAAAGTATTTTATTCTGGCAAATGAGTTGTTGACATTCTTAGAGTGTTTAACCTCTACAGTACTTGCCATGTTGACGAGAACAATTTGTGAGAAAGCAGACAAAGAATGAGCTTAAAGCAGAAGTGGAGTTAAGAAGATGAAGAGGCAATAATTCCACCATTATCTACCCCAGTCAGCCTCTAAATGTTTTCCTCAACCATCTTGGGTAACTGTTATCTTATCGACATAGTAAATAGTATCTTATATCTAAATATTTATTTTAACTTTTGATAATATAATTAAGGTACCGGTATTTACCTAGTATTTAATATTTTGGTTAGAAAATTTTGACCAGAAATGTCCCACAGGAAGATAACCCCTCTTTATATCATTATGTGCAGGTAAACCAGTGCTAACCATACATTGTTACACTGAATGTTACACTTTCCAAGAAGGCCTGTCCAACATATTGTGAGATATACCTGTACTGTACAGTACTTTGCTAATAATGTAGATACTGTACTTACATAAATCTTTTTATTTTTTACTCAACTAGAATTTTGTATGTACCTGAAATATAATTTATGTAACTCCTCTCAGAGTACAGTACTGTACAGTAAACTTTTAAGATCCAGCATTTAACAAATGGGATATACCTCAAGGGAGTGAAATTTTCAAAGAACTCCAACACAAATTTGTTTTTAAGAAACTGTATATTATCCATGTTGATTGTTTTTTCTATGCCGAGGAAGCTGTGTGATGGTTGTTTACTCTTGTGATAAAGATCTTACTGTACTGTGTATCACTGGTGTGTGAGTACTGGATCACTTATTTTTGTCACCATCTATTTTACAGTTGGCCTTTAATTTATATTTCTCTTATTTACATTGATGTGCTGGAATATTCTTGACAAATTACGAAACGTAATTGATTCATTATATTGTTGTTTTGAAAATAGGAAAATAAAAAATCTAAAGAAAACAATACATGTAAACTATTTTGGTCAGTGCACAGCATCAATGCCAGCTGTGTCTTACACATTCATTGTGAATTTTCACTTGTTAAACCTTAGTTAAACCCTGCAAACATATATTGTGCTGTACCAGCAAGAGATGTTGTTGCCTCAGCATCTAAGAAGGCTGGGAAGAAGACAATTAGATTAGAAGTAAAAATGGATGTCTTAAAGTAATTGCATGACAAAGAATGAGCAATGAACACTGGCAAGGTGCTTGGCCTATCATTTACAATGGTGATAAAAGTACTGTATGGGTTAACTTTGATAAAATAAAATAATGTGCTCAAAGTGTGAGACCACTTTGTGCTGCAGGAAAACAAAAGTCAGAAATAAGGTAATGAAAATACAGGATGGATCAATTGTTAAAGGTTTTAATCAAGGTCAAGGAAACTTCTTAAATTATACAGGGAAAAGAACTAAAACACTTAAAATACTTTAAAAGCAATCTACTCTACCATATCTATTGAGTATTAACTTGTTTTATTTATTGAAGGCTGTTATATTATATTTTTTGGTGCTTACTGTATTAATTAGTTTGTGCAAATTTTGACCAAATATTGTGCCATAGTGTATTCTATGTTATGGTCATTAAGTCAAATAGGGTTCAATATACTATATGTTGTGTTGCCTAATGTCGTGCAAGTTGATAGTAGGTTCTTCTAAGGTAGTACAGGGTACAGTTCTGTACTACACCTTAAAAGTTGTGATAGCACTTGTCCAACTATTTCAGTACACTACAGTACATCACTTCTGTGGCACTTATGTTAACCACTTTGTCTAATGCTGAAGATAGTACTTGAAATAACTTCCAGGATATTTAGACTTGTTTTATTTTTGTTTGTTATTTGTATTTACTATGCCTCTATATATGGTCCAGGTCCCAACCAGTATCACGGTCTAGTAGTATCAACAACCTAGACAATGACGGTGAACGGTCCGTTCACTCCCATCGATCTCGTCACGACTGTTACGACCGACACGACCGTCGGGACTCCCACTCAAGGGACTCAGATCCTAGGGACAGGGATGTCCCTTATACCAGAGATGGTAGAGAAAGAGACTTCCTTCAACGGGGATGGGAACCTAGAGAATCCCGAGATCGGCGAGATCCTCGCTACTATAATCAGAGGGGTGAGTACTAAATGACCATTATGTTGATCCAACATCCCCTCCACTAGAACACTTATTCTACATGTTATTGTTATACTCTCAGATGGGACAGTCCTTCCAGATGTCCATAAAGTGTAATGAGTTCAACTGGAAAACTAGGAAACTGATCCCCTCCAAACTCTGTATGCTTTATTATCAGCAAGTGATGATGCATGTGGTTAAGAAGTTGTACAGTACTTTTAAGTATTAATCCCAAAATTATGGTGTCTTCTTAATGGTCTGGGTTACCAGTTGTCTGCCACGGGACCACAGCTGACAGTGAAGCAGTACAGTAATGTAGACTAGAAAAGCTGTGTTGATGGGTGTTTGTAGTGTGTTGGTGTTAGTGTTTGTGGTGTGTTGGTGAGTGTAGTGTTAGTGTTTGTGGTGTGTTGGTGAGTGTAGTGTTAGTGTTTATGGTGTGTTGGTGAGTGTAGTGTTAGTGTTTATGGTGTGTTGGTGAGTGTTTGTGGTGTGTTGGTGAGTGTTTGTAGTGTTTGAGTTTGCAGTGTGATTTTGAGTATTTTTTGTGTGTTCTTGGATGTTTGTGATGTGTTGAGTGTTTTGTTATTGTGTTTGTGTTATGTTATTGAGTGATTTTGGTATTTTGAGTGTTTGTTTTTATGTTGTTTGTATTGTTGAGTGTTTGTTTTATGGTTTGAGTGTTTGCTGTCTGTTGAGTGTATGTCATATATTGAATATCTGTGTTATGTTATTAAATGTTTGTTCATGCTGTTGAGTGTTTGTGGTTGATGTTTAAATTTCCAGCAGAAAAAATCAAGCCTATAAAACTCTACTTTTTACTCATTGTATGGCTGGATTCTTACTTAGGCTTGTAAAGACTGGACACTACGTTTCCAATATCTAACAATTTGAACGCACAGTTCGACAGCGACTGCAGGCGAAGGAAACACGAATACAGTGGTCCCTTGGTTAACGAGCACAATCCGTTCTAGAAGGTTGCTCGTTAACCGAAAAACTCGTTAACCGAAACCATTGTTTCAATGGGTTTTTGGGTAATTGGTTCCAGCTCACCGAAAATTGCCTAAATTCAACAAAAAAGGTAGTAAAGTACACTTACTTTGAGGTGTGTATGTAGAAGGCTCCTGGATGATGATGATGGGAATTAGAATGGGGGTGGAGAAGGGAGAAGAGAAGGCATTGGGGTGGAAGAGAAGTCACCCCATGGTGCCATTTCACCCATAAAATTTTAGTTCTCTTGGTGCAATTCAAGATTATTTTCTTTAAATCAACACTGCACTGCATTATATATTGTCAATATGTAAAATAAATTTCAAAATGACCAATAATTTGCTTGCAAAAACAGAAAAAAAGCATTTAGTTGAAGAGAGTCTCAAGCAAGATGTTACCTCCACTGAAAAGACACAAAGACTGACGTCTGTATGGTGTGTTGAGAGGCTGGATGGCACGCATAAAACTAGTTTCATTACCTTCAATTATATTCAATAATTGTTAAAATAAGTAAAAAATTTAATATTAAACTTTTAAAATTATTGAATAGTATAAACTTCTTGATATTTGCTAAAATGATTAGGAATTTAAGCCCTAGAACCGATTACTGTATTGGCGGACTAATACTACAGCTGGTGGACCGCCAAATGCAAGCGAAATCATGTTCAGCTTGGCTCGTAAGAAACTCGTCAATCGAGGGATTGCTCGTTAACCAAAGTTAAGAATCTTATGGAAGGTAACTCATTAACCAAAATCTCGTTAACCGAGGCGCTTGTTAACCGAGGGACCACTGTACTGTGCTCATAAACGAGGTTGTGCTAAGGCTTCTTCGCATCTTTCAAAACAAGCGCCGCTGGACAAGAGCGCTCTCCTCTCACGCCGGCTGTTGCCATATGATGATGACCCATAAACAATCAGTCACTCACACAGCTGATCAGCGCCACCCACATTGTGATTCATTCATCTCATTTTAACTTTGTTTTTGCCGTTTCTTAGATACGTTATGGATGTTATAATGTCAAGGTATACTTTGTGAGTGTGTTATATTCAGGGGGAGGGTAGTGGAAGCAAGTGTGCTGATACAGGGTGAGGGGGCAGCAGCGCACCTTCCACCCGCTCTACCCCCCACACAGGAGGTGGCACCAGCTCCGCCTACCAGTCGGGAGGCGGCGAGCGCCGTGTAAACAGTGACTTTTCTAACCACACCCTGCAAAATAAAGTGTACTTAGCAAATGCTGCAGCTTCTGAGAATGGTGGGGGGGGGGGAGGAGTTACTACTAAGAGCAGAGACTTGACCGAGAACAAAATCTGGCTTGAATGTCATGTTCACTAATACTGACACGTTCCTTGATAAGAGAGAAGAATTTGAATCACTACTGAAGGTACACCAACCAGATATTGTAGAAGTTGTAGAACTGTTGTACAAGAACAGGAGAATCAACCCAGAGGAATGTGAGTTCAGTATTGCTAGATACGACTCATTTAGGAACCTTTCTCAAGAAAATTGCAAGAGGGGTGTGGTTATCTATGCTAGGCAAGACCTTAGAGCCAGCCAGGTGAGGGTACAGGGAGAGGATGTTTTTATGAGTCCAAGTGGTGTAAAATTAAATTAAAGGGAGGAGACTTACTTGTTGTCGGGTGTATCTACAGATCCCCAAACTGTGGCCCACTAAATCAAAGGAACTTAAGAGCCTTAATAGACAATGCAGCGATGCTCAACACTAGCCACCTCCTTATCATGGGGGACTTTAACTATGGCGACATTGACTGGAGAAACAAGTTCACCCCAAATGACTTGAATAACCCTGCTACTCTTTTTGTAGAAACTCTTGAGAGATAATTTTCTGTTCCAACATGTTAGAGTCCCGACACATTACAGAGGGGAGCAAACACCCAAGCCACTAGACCTCATCATAACAAACGGGGAGGGTATGGTGGCCAAACTGGAACACCTTACTCCAGTTTGCATCAGTCACCATATAGTGCTGTCATTCAGATTTAACTGTTACCTAGTTCAAGATAAGGCCAGGCCAAGGTGCAACTATTACAAGGGAAATTACAGCTGGATGAGGGAAGAGATGAGGGGTATCCACTGGCCTGACTCATTAAGGCACAAGAACGCAGACACTACGCTGAATATCATAACTAGTAAAGTGACCCATTTGATCGATAAATATACCCAAGACCAAACCCAGTGCCTCTAGGAATACGAGGGGATCCCTACACATGAACCATGCGGCGGTCGACAAAGTTAAGAAGAAAACCCAGACTTTCAAGACGTGGGTTGGGTCAAACGATGAGCAGGACAGGAGGATGTATGCAAGAGCCAGAAACCAAGCAAAGATAGAGTGTAGGAGGGCTGAAAAGGAGTTCCAGAGGCTGGTTGCAAGCGAGGTCAAGTCAAACCCAAAGGCAGTTTACCGCTATGCAAAGTCAAAATTAAAAATGCCAGTAGGAGTATCAGACCTGAGGCTTGAAGATGGTAGTTACGCAGATTCTAACCTGGATAAAACTGAGGCATTGAACAGCTTCTTTTCCTCGGTGTTCACAAGAGAGGATGCGATTAACCTTCCTGCGTTTGAGGACAGACGGTTCGACACAGCACTGACCCACATTGTGTTTGCAGAAGAGGGTATTAGAAATAAATTGTCAAAGCGAAAGGTCCATAAGAATTCCGACCCGGACATGGTGCATCCCAGAGTGCTAAGAGAGTTATGCAACGAGCTTGCCGAGCCCATGAAGATACTGTTTTGTAAATGCCTGGATGAACAAAAAGTCCCCAGTGATTGGAAAGTGGCCTATGTGAGTCCTATCTTCAAGAAGGGCGATCGTCACTCCACGAACAACTATAGACCGGTGAACCTGACCAGCATAATATGTAAAGTACTTGAGAGTATTATCAGGGATGCCACGATGGAACATCTACTAAACAACCTTGTAAAATATTGCTACACAAAGCTTCCGTGACACCTGCTGGACCACCACTTCACGACCCCCTCACGGAGACACGATGATCCTCCCCATTCTGGCCAGATATTATGTAAATAACATTGATTATGTGTTAAAGGAATATCCTGCTTCCTCTATCAAGGAATAAACAATTGAAATTGAATCCAAGGATTGCCAACACGGTTTTATGCTGAGGCGCTCCTGCTTAACACAATTGCTCAAGGTATTGAATATTTGGACCCATATTCTGGAACGGGGTGGTAATATTGAGGGTACCTAGATTTTGCCAGGGCTTTCGACAGTGTACCCCATGAAAGGCTGAAAATCAAACTGGAAGGGTTCGGAATTCGGGGAAATGCTCAAGCGTGGTACAAGACTTTCTACATGACCGCAAGCAGTGTGTGGTGATTAATGGCATGAAATCATTATCTGTACCTGTCACAAGTGGGGTATCACAAGGCAGTGTATTGGGCCCGCTGTTGTTTGTTTGTTTCATAAATGACATGCCTTACGTTGTACACTCCTCCATACAAATGTTTGCCGATGACGCAAAGTTATTTCGGGAAATCAAGAACCATGCGGACTGTGTAGAACTGCAGAAGGATCTCTGTGAGCTCCAAGAATGGTCGAAGAAATGGCTGCTGAGATTCAATGTCACGAAGTGTAAGAGGATGCACCTGGGGCGTACAAACGGTAAGGAGGCGTATCATATGTCCCAACGGGATGAAGAAACTGCACTATTTGAGACAATGTGAGAAGGACGTAGGTGTGTTTGTTGACAATGAGCTGAAGTTCTCGGGCCATTACGAGAAGGTAAATCAGGCACATAAATTATTGGGTCTTACAAAAAGGTCGTTAAGATATCTAGACGGTCTGTCCCTCGTAACGATCTTCAAGAATGAAGTGCTTCCCCATCTGGAGTACTGTTACCCCGTCTGGTCCCCGAGATATGCTAGGGACTGTCAGTTGGTCGAAAATGTTCAAAGGAGGGACACCAGACTGGTGCCTGCACTTGAGCACCTCAACTACCCTGAGAGATTGGAGCGCCTGAACTTGCCTAT